GCAGCTCCAGTAGGACCAGCTCTAGTAGCTCCAGCAGCACCCCCAGTTCCAGTAGCTCCAGTACCGCCAGTACGAGCACCTCGATGACCAGTGGCTCCAGCACCTCCAGCACCGACCTCTGCGTCTGCAGCATCACCAACTCCACTGGGCTCAGCGCCCTCAGCTCCAACTCCAGCAGCACGACGGAGGCTGCGACAGTACCGAGAGTACCACTCACGCACTTGCTGGGAAGAGAGAGCGCCCCCAGGCGCAGCACCCCTAAGCTCAGGACCTCCAGACGCAGCACCTCCAGGGACAGCACCCACAGGCTCAGCACCTGCAGTCTCTTCACCCCCAGGCTTAGTACCCCCAGTCTCCGCACCCCTAGTCTCCGCACCCCTTGGCTTAGCACCCCCAATCGCATTACCCCCAGACCCAGCACCACCAGGTTCAGCACGCTCAGGCTCAGCACGCGCAGTACCTCGTGCAGGACCAGAGTCAACAGCTACCTCGACAGGCTCGACTGCATCTATCTGGGACACACTTGAGGGGGCAAGACCCTGGGGAGGGAGGGGGTCTACCAAGGCAGCACCTGGCGTGAGGAAGAGCAGCGGAGGGAGGAGCGGGACACTGCGGTAGGGGAAGGGACAGTAGAAGGGGACGGAGTTGTCAAACGTGACGTCCTGGGAGGACACAACATGGCGCGAGGTGGGGTGGTAAAACTGCCAACCAGGTGCGTCAGGGGGGATGCCAAGGAAGACGCAGGGAACAGCACGGGGGGACAGCTTGTCCGCAGACAAGTCGCGGACAAAAGCCCGAGATCCCCAGACACAGAACGCAGACGCACCGCCAACCTTCCCCGTCCACCGCAGGGTAGGGGAGGTCTCCGGCATGGAGACCCGGGCTGAACCGCGAACAGCCACAAAAAATGGGGAGCAGCCACATGGATCATGGACGTACGAGCGACGTCCATGACCATGCCAATGCGGCGCTCAGCAATCCTATTTTGCTGTGGAGAGGCCGGAAGTGTGAACGTCTGGCGGATGCCCTGTGCACGACAGAAGGCTCCCAGAAGGTCAGAGGAAAACTCTCTGCCTCTGTCGAAGTGCAGACGCAGAACAGGAAAGTCCGAGCCGAAACTCTCTCTGAGCCGGAGACGAGCTGCCCGGATCTAGTCGATCAACACCTCAGTGACGTCACCCTTGCTGCGCAAGGGGAAGACCGTGGTGTAACGCGAGTAGTCGTCAACCAACAGCAGGAAGTAGCGCTTGTGACCCTGTCCACGGACGCGGGCTGGGCCCCACACGTCCTGGTGAAGCGTCTGCAGCGGAGCCTCTGTTGGAGGAAACTCGGAGGAGTGAGGAGCGGCGCGCTGCCGCCCCTCGACGCAGGGAACGCAGGTAGGGGCAGGCCTCGGAGGAAGAGGAGGGAGGGACGGGGGGAGACTAGAGACAAGGAAACAAGAGGCCATGCCTCGGAGACGAGGCAGGGAGGGGTGACCAAGGCGGTGGTGCCAGAGGAGAATCTGGTGAGACAGGAGATGACACAAGCAGGGGGCAGACTCAGGACCAGACTTGGACGCTGTAGCAAACACCTGACCTGACGCAGCTACCTGACCAGACTCAGTAGTCAGTGTGTACAGGCTCGACCCCGGCTGACGGGTAAACGTGGCCAAGTGTCGGCCCGTCCGAGCACACGTACAGTGGATCACTCGCTGACTCGCAGGAGTGAACAGGTCAACCCCTCTATCCTGTAGGTCAGCACCACTCACCAAGTTCGTAGAGAACGAGGGGAGGTAGAGACCTGACAGGGTGCTCGAAGGGGCCGCCAGACACGGTAAGACAGTGGAGAAGTGGGCAAGGACAGGACCCCCAGAGGGGTCCGCCAGGGAGACTGCAACCGGCCGACGAAGTGGCGTGAGTGTGGTGCGGTCTCGAAAGAAAGAGCGGGAAGCACCCGAGTCAAGGGTGAAGGTGTGCAACACCTAAGCCGACGTGGTGCCTGAGAGAGCAGACTCACTAGCACCTTGGGCAGCAGACTCACCAATACTTGGAGCAGCAGACTCACCAGCACCTGGAGTAGCACACGCACTGGCTCCTAGAGCAGCTGTCTCACGAGCACCTAGAGCAGCAGTCTCAATGCCCGGGTCAGGCGGAACACACAGGTAACAGTCACCCTCATCACTAGTAGGCAATGCACACAAGATAGCATCATTGTCAAGATTATAGATATCTACCCTCTGCCTAAGCAGCTGCACCCAGTCGGGGAGCTCAGCTGCGTCGCCAAACTCCATACTCCAGGCGTCGCTTAGACGGGCGAAGCAACGGGACTCTGTGTGACCAAAGGTCCCGCAAGGCTGACCAGTCCGAGCACCAGTGCGAGTGACGTATGGACAGCGAGCAGTACTCCGTGACCCTCCACTCTGAGCGTACCACTCACGAAGCTGCTGGGGCAAAAGAACCGCGCGTGGACGACGCTGCAGCTGGACTTGGCCACTACAAGCAGCTCCCGAACGACTCACCCCAGGACGACTCCCACTACGACCACCCCGACAACCCCAAGTAGCGTACCACTCACGAAGCTGCTGGGGCGTGAGGGACTCACGCGGACGGCGTTGGAGCTGCATCTGGTCACGCCAGGAGCAGCACTAGCAGTAGAAAGAGCAGTAGAAGCAAGAGCAGCAGTAACAGCAGTAACAAAAGTGCTCGCCAGTGGCAAGAAGGCAATGGCGAGGCCGCTATTTCCGCAGGGCGAGGGCTCCGCGGCTGCTGCAGGGGCGGCTGCTCTAGGGGCTAGGGGCGGCTGCAGTAGCGGCGGCTGCTCCAGGGGCCAGGGAGCCGCGGCGGGCAGGGGCGGCGGCGGCTGACACGGCAGTGGTGGCGGCGGCTGCTGTTGTCGGCGGCGGCAGCGGCTGCTGCTGTCGGCGGCGGTTGCTGCTGCTGTCGGCGGCGGCGGCTGCTGCGGTCGGGGCAGGGGCGGCGGCGGCTGACACGGCAGCGGCCACGGTGGCTGCTGTTGTCGGCGGCGGCGGCTGTTGCTGATGTCGGCGGCGGCGGCTGACACGGCAGCGGTGGCGGCGGCTGCTGCGGACGGCGGCGGCGGCGGCGGCTGCGGCTGCGGCCGGGGCAGGGGCAGCGGTGGCTGACACGGCAGCGGCGGCGGCGGCTGCTGTTGTCGGCGGCGGCGGCTGCTGCTGCTGTCGGCGGCGGCGGCTGTTGCGGCCGTGAAGGGGCCGCGAAGGGGCCGGTAAGGGCGGCGGAGGGGCCGCAAGGGGCCGTGAGAGGGGCCGTGAGGGGCCGCGAAGGGCCGCGAAGGGCCGCGGAGGGGCCGCGAGGGGACGCGAGGGGGCCGCGAGGGGCCGCGAAGGGCCGCTAAGGGCCGCGGAGGGGCCGCGAGGGGCCATGAGAGGGGCCGCTACGGCGCCATAAGAGGGCGCGACGGACTGCTAAGGGCACAGGACGCGACGGGAGGGCAGGCACACGGAGCGCGACCCAGGCAGGGGCGAAGCGCGCTCCCAGCAGGGAAAAAAAAATCGATTTTCGGTGGGCCCTATGAAACGTTCCCACGAGGGAACCTGCTCTATACCATGTGAATGAACGAGGAAAAATGTGTGCACTAGGAAACAGGTGGATACTAGTAGGAAAACCTAAAAGTGTTGTACCCCATATTATCTACCCCACTACAGCCTACACAGACTATAGCATATAAGTTTGACAAATTTTTCTTCGATGAAAACCCATATGTGATGTTCGACAAGAGGTGCTTCCGGGCTGTTCGACAAGAGGTGCTTCCAGGCTGTTCGACAATACTTAGGGATCTTGCTAAACGTTTCGACACACCACATTGAAAAACTTTGCCTTTACACTTTCACATTTTTGTCGAAACAATACTGCATTACTTTCTGTTAAACATGGAAACTCATTCAGTAAGGATCCGATTTCACACTCGGGAAAACAAAATTACCGAGATGTTGTTCGATGAAATTGATTATCGACAGCAAAGGCCGATTTTAGAATCCGGTACGTCGCTATCTTCATTCGACGCTAAAGTTGTCGGGCTGCGCATTTTCCCCGTTTCACAAAATGAAAGATTTCGACAGGGAGAGCACAACGGTCGAGAAGTTAATTTCACTCGACTAATCGTGTCTACCGTCGCCAGCACACCGTTTCACTTCTCTTTGTAGCATCGAGACTCACAATCACATAACTAATCAACAATGCTCGAGTTTTACTATACGATTCAAACACGTCGTGAATGCGGACAATCGACAGAAGCAATGTTATTGTTGCAATACAGTTTGACAACTGCATTTTCTTACCCCGTCGAAAAGATCAGATTCTTTCTATGTAAAAAACGCTTTGAAAAAAAATCAATATATTCGACAAGCTTCAGCTTTCCCAAATTTGTATAATTTTTACACTACCTGAAAAGGTCGGTACTTCACATATGGCAATCATTCATCATTAGACTGTCTTCGACATCACCTCGTTTTGTGTTGTATCAGCGTAACACCTATTTCGGCATCGGTGCTCTATAAAGCGCTGTGAAGATTAGAACGAGAGAAAGATTGAACTATGAAAGAGTTGGGTACAAATACTAACCCTAATTGGGTTGTACCCCTTATGGGCTACCCCACTACACCTTACACAAATGTATAAGCTATAATGTTGTGACACACCCCCATAGGCAAAGTAGGGGAGAACAAGTGGTCACAAGACCAGTCAAGCAAAGCAAAGCAAGCTCAAGGTGGATCACAAACTCACCACACAGTCCGAGCACAAGAGTACGGCCACAAGGCTAGTTCACATGCAAGATCATATATATAAAGGTAAACAAGCAAGTGCAGATATAGAAAGAGGACAGTACAAACAAGATCAAGAAGTGAGCAAGTGAGGCCAGGTAGGCACAAGACCTAGCAAAGTACAGAAGTGCTGATGATCACAAGGCGGAAGGGCCTTGGTGAAGATATCAGCAGTGTTGGCCTCAGAGGCCACGTAGGTGAGGTGGAGCTGACCACGCTGCTACAGCTCACGAGCCAGGAATGAGTGGAGAGCAATGTGCTTCGTTCTGTGCTCCAGTCTGTGCTCCCGACACAAGGCCAGCATGGCCTTGTTGTCTACGTACAGAACTGGAGGAGAACGAGGCGGCTCTCCTAGGTCAGTCAGCAGGTAGGTGAGCCACCGTAGCTCCTGTGCAGCCATGGCCCCTGCGTAGATCTCAGCCTCACAGCTAGGGCTGAGAACAGAAGACGAGCAGGTAGACCGCCACGAAATAGAGCCGGAGCCAAGGCTGAAGGTGTAACCCTGTGACGACCGCTGCTGAGCCTGGTCGTCAGCCCAAGAAGCGTCAGCGTGACCTGTGAGGACCACTCGACGTCGCCCTCCAAGCACTAGCCTCATGCCCGTCGTACTGCACACGTAGCGCAACACCCTCTTCGCTGCAGCCATGTGCTCTGGTCGGTGTCTCCCAGGAGCAACATAGCGTGCCAAGATGCTAAGAGGGTATGCAAGGTCAGGTCGTGTGCAGGTCATCAGGTACATGAGGCAGCCGACAAGCTCTGGGTACGGGCCACTCGACTCTACGGACTCATCCGAAGGCAGAGCTGAGAGCGAGTGGCGAGTAGACAGAGGAGTGGCCTGAGGCGAGGAGTACGTGAAGCCGAAGCGCTGAAGGACCTGCTGCACCATGTGTGACTGAGTCAGGGTAATGGTGCGCTGTGCTCTGTCCCGGGTGATCTGCAAGCCAAGGTAGCTGCGCAGTTCACCCAGGTCTGTGCACGTGTGTCTCTTCTGCAGCTCGGACTTCACGTGGGCGAGTCCAGTAGTGTCAGCAGTGGCAAAGACCAAGTCGTCGACGTACACGAGGATGTAGAACGGCGGCAGAGAGGTGTCCGTGCGCAGAAATAGCAACGGGTCGGCTGTAGAAGGAGCAAACCCAAGAGCCACAAGTGTAGTCCTCAGTGTGTCGTGCCACTCACGGGGCGCCTGGCGGAGACCGTAGACTGGCCGCCGGAGGCTCCATTGGGTACCAGGACGAAACGACCCAGTGAAGCCAGGTGGGCGGCGCAGCCAGATCTCCTCATGCAGGCTGCCCTGCAGGAAAGCTGTGCTGAAATCAAGAGAGTGAAGCTCGTAGTGACGCTAAGCGGTTATGTGCAGCAGCACCCGAAGAGTGGTCATCTTCGGGGTGGGAGAGAAGGTCTGAAAGTAGTCAACTTCATGACGCTGACTAAAGCCTCGAGCCACGTAACGCGCCTTGAAGACAGGCGGAGAACCCGGCGGCCACTTCACCCTCAAAATCCACATGCCACCGACGATGTTCGCCCCAGGTGGGGGAACCTCGTCGATGGAGGTGCCTGTGGACTTCCAGGAAGCCATCTCTGCGTCCATGGCCGACTGCCACTGAGAGGAGTAGGGACCCTCGATCGCCTCAGCGTACGATCGAGGAGTCCGGATGTCTGGTGCATCCAGGTCTCCCTCAGGGGCAATCAGCGTGGACACAAGATGGGGCAAAACAGTAGCAAAGCACTGGAGTTCCTCCTGCCTGTCCTCAAGGACGTCCGTGCTAAAGGCACACTCACCCCCGACGGACGGACGACAGATAGACTCTGACTCAGCAACGAGACTGGCACCGTAGTCTAGACGACAACGAGCAGCGAAGTCGACAAGCTCAGCAACTAGGGCAAACGCAACAGTGGACTCAAAGGAAGGGTCAGTAACAACAGTAGCAAGAAGGCGCGTGACTGAAGGACTAGCAGCACGAAGAGAGTCAGACTCCGGGTCAGCAAGAATAGGAAGAGAGGACTCTGGAGGAGACAGCAACGGGACACGCAGAGGAGCAGTGGATGGACGCAGTGCCATCTGGTGTGTGCCGGGGACCGCAGGAGGACGCGGACGCGCAGCACGACGACTAGTGCGAGCAGCACGAACAGGCGACGCAGGACGAGACGCAGGCTCACGACGCTCAGCAAGACCTGCAGAAGGACTAGTGTAGGGAGAAGGAGCAGGTAGAGGGGAGGCGGGCTGTAACTGTGACTACGACTGGACAGGAGAGGAGCGGGACCAGGAGAGGGAGGGAGACGAAGAACCTACTCGAGGAGCGGAACGAAGTACGGCCTCGGCCGCTCAGCGCCTCCAGAACCAGCAAGGACGGCACCACTACCCCCAGCGGCAGCACCAGCGCCAGCAGCACCTCCAGCTCCAACAACGCCAACTCCAGTACCCTCAGAAGCACCACTGCCAGCAGCACCGCAAGCGCCAACACCCCCAGCAGCTCCAGCTCCAGCAGCACCAACTCCAGTAGGACCGTCAGCACCAGCAATCTCAGCAGCACCCCGAGACGCACCAGCGCCAGTAGAAACACCAGCGCCAACACCCCCAGCAGCTCCAGCTCCAGGAGCACCAGCACCGCCAGCAGCTCCAGCAAGACCAACTCCAGTAGCCCCAGCAGCACCCCCCGTCTCAGCAGCACGTCTCTAGCGGTGGGCAAACCACTCGCGCAGCTCCTGTGGAGAGAGCGGCTCCCGCCTCGACGAAGCACCACCGGCGGCCACACGAGCAGACCCAGCGCCCCAAGGCTCCGCACCCCCAGACTCAGCACCCGCAGGCTCAAAACCCCCAGGCTCAGCACCCCCACGCTCAGCACCCCCAGACTCAGCACCCCTTGGCCCAGCACCCCCAGTCTTAGCACCCCCAGACTCAGCACCCCCAGACTCGGCACCCGCAGGCTCAACACCTCTAGTAGCACCAGAGTCAACAACTACCTCGACAGTCTTGACTGCGTCTACCTGGGACACACCGGAAAAGGCAGGACCCTGAGGGGGGAGGGGGTCTACCGGGGGAGGATCTGGCGCAAGGAAGAGTGGCGGCCGGGGGAGGGGCGTAGAGTGGTAGGGGAAGAGATGGTAGTAAGGCACCGACTCGTCAAAGGTGACGTCCTGGGAGGACAGAACACGGCGCGAGGTGGGGTGGTAGAACTGCCACCCAGGCGCGTCAGGGTGGAAGCCAAGGAAGACGCAGGGAACAACACGGGGGGACGGCTTGTTCGCAGACAAGTCGCGGACAAACGCCTGAGATCCCCAGACCCGAAACGCAGACGCATCGCCAACCTTTCCGGTCCACCGCAAGGCGGGGGAGGTCTCTGGTAAGGAGACCCAGGGCTGAAGGTTGAGCTGATGCGCGGCGTACTGAACCGCAAACGGCCACAGAAAATGGGGGGCAGTTGCATCCATCATGGACGTACGAGCGACGTCCATGACCATGCCAATGCGGTGCTCAGCAATCCCATTTTGCTGTGGAGAGGCCGGAAGCGTGAAGGTCTGGCGGATGCCCTGTGCTTGACAGAAAGCTCCCAGACGGGCAGAGGAAAACTCCCCGCCTCTGTCAGAGTGCAGACGCAGAACAGGAAAGTCCGAGCCGAAACTCTCTCTGAGCTGGAGACGAGCTGCGCGGATCTAGTCGATCAACACCTCAGTGACGTCACCCTTGTTGCGCAAGGGGAAGACTATGGTGTAACGCGAGTATTCGTCAACCACCAGCAGGAAGTACCGCTCGCGCCCCTGTCCATTGACGCGGGCAGGGCCCCACACGACCATGTGGAGAGTCTGCAGCGGAGCCTCTGTCGGAGGAAACTCGGAGGAGTGAGGGGCGGCGCGCTGTCGCCCCTTCACGCAAGGGACGCAGGTAGGGCCAGGCCCCGGAGGTAGGGGAGGGAGAGACCGGTGGAGACCAGAGACAAGGACACGGGAGGCCATGCCTCAGAGACGAGGCAAGGAGGGGTGACCAAGGCGGTGGTGCCAATCGAGAGTGTGGTGGGACAGGAGACGACACGAGCAGGGAGCAGACTCAGGACCAGACCAAGACGCTGCAGCAAACACCTGACTCGACGCAGCTACCTGGGCAGACTCAGCATCCGGAGGAGATGCAGTAGTAAGGGTGTACAGGCTTGACCCTGGTCGGCGGGTGAACGTGGCCAAGTGTCGGCCTGTGCGAGCACACGTGCAGTGGGTAACCCGCTGACTCGCAGGAGTGAACTGGTCAACCCCCCTATCCTGTAGGTCCGCTCCACTCACCAAGTTCGTAGAGAACGAGGGGAGGTAGAGACGTGACAGGGTGCCAGAGGGGGCTGCCGGGCACGGTAAGACAGTGGAGAAGCTAGCAAGGATAGGACCCCTAGAGGGGTCTGCAAGGGAGACTGCGACCGGCCGACTGAGCGGCGTAAGAGTGGTGCGGTCTCGAAAGAAGGAGAGGGACGCACCCGAGTCAAGGGTGAAGGTGTGGAAGGCTTGAGCCGACGTAGTACTTGAGAGAGCAGACTCACCAGCACTTAGGGCAGCAGACGCACTAGCACCTGGGGCAGCAGACGCACTCGCACCTAGAGCAGCAGCCTCACCAGCACCTAGAGCAGTGGCCTCAATGCCCGGTTCAGGCGGTACACACAGGTAACAGTCACCCTTAACACTAGTAGTCACAGAATACATGGCAGCAAGGATAGCATCATAGTCAAGATCAAAGACGGCAACCCTCGCCCTAGACAGATCTCCCCAGCGAGGGATCTCTGACGCCTCAGGGAATTGGCAACGCCATGCGTCCGTCAGGCAACCGAAGCAGCGCTGGGTGGAGTGCGGCCTCCGCACTGCTCACCAGCTTGGTCGCTAGTACGGAGGACGTAAGTGCAGGGACCAAAACCCCCACCGCGCTGACGCATAGTGTACCACTCTCGAAGCTACTGAGGTGACAGGGTCACACCACTCCGCTGCTGCTGGCGCGGACCACCACCGGAGCCACTCCTCTGCGCAGAGTCGCGACCCGCTCCACCACCGCCGCCGCCGCCGCCGCCGCCTCCGCCGCCTCCTCCACCTCCGCCTCCTCCGCCACCTCCGCCTCCTCCGCTCCCTCCGCCACCACCACCGCCTCCGCCGCCTCTACTGCTGCCGCCGCCGCCGCCACCCCCGGCACCACTCCCACCACCACCCCCACTCCCTCTTGCATCCACCACCACCTCCACCACCCCCTCCAGCCCCTCCAGCGCCCTTGCCCCCCTTGCCCTTGCCGGTGCGGCATTTCCCGCTCGGGCAGACGCAGCGCCGACCGACTCGAAACCAACGAGGTCGGCCGCAGCAGCAGAGGCAACAGAGGGCAAGAGGGGGGAGGGAGAACACCCCTCAAAGACGGGGGTGCGAGGGTCACCACGAGAGGCTCCTACAGCGACTATGCTCTTCTCTGCCGCTAGGAGGGCCTTCTCGAGGAGGTCAACGTTGAAGGTGGTGGGGCAAACTGAGAGGAAGTGGTCCTTGACTACGCGGGGAGAGTCAGGGAGCCGGGTGACTATGTAGTAGAGGGTGATGTACATGGGGGGGGGGGGGGTTTTGGCGCAGAACTCAGCAGGAAGCGCAGCGCGGTAGCGAGTGTCACTAGTGCGGAGGTGCGTAATGAGGTCAGCGACTGTGGGAAAGGCAGCAAGGTCAGGGAAGAGGTACGGTAGCATGAGGCGGCTCAGTGCAGCAGTGGCAATGGAAGAGTAGTGGGCAACTACAGCGTTGTACAAGGTCTGAGCACTCTTGTACTGGCTAAAGTGCGCACGCTCAGTGGTCGGTAAGTGGTGGCGCACAGCAAGGCGAGCAGCAGCATCGCGGGTGGGCCACTGTGAGCGAACAATGGCGTCAGCATCAGCAGCAGGGGCAGGAGAGGCACCAGAAGTGAGGTCAAACAGGGAGAGGCCGTCTGCCCTATCGCACTGTAGGAAAAGCTGCAGATCATCTACCCAGACCTTAAAGTCAGCTGCCCGACCCTTAGCGTCAAAGGTGAGAACACTAGGGGAGGCCGTGACAGTAGTAGACAGGTAGAGAGTACAATGGGGCAGGGCAGTGCAGTGGCAGAGACGCTGCTCTTACCAGGCAAGTGGGGCGGTCCCGGGCAGGGCGACAGGTGGCAGCGCCTCGGTTGCGGTGCGGCTCGGCAGCTCGGCTGCTAGGCGGCTCGGCGGTCGGGCGGCTCGGCTGCAGGGCGGCTCGGCGGTCGGGCGGCTCGGCTGCTCGGCGATTCGGCTGCTCGCTGGCTAGGCTGCTCGGCGGCTCGGGCGCTGGGCCGCTGAGCGACGACGGGGCCGTGGAAGGGCGGCGACGGGGCCGCTGGTAGGGCGGCGACGGGCCGCTGAAAGGGCGGCTACGGGCCGCTGAAAGGGCGACGACGGGCCGCTGAAAGGGCGGCAACTGGGCCACGGAAGGGGGGGCAACGGGGCTGCTGCAGGGCGGCGACGGGGCTGCGGAAGGGCGGCGATGGGGCCGCTGAAAGGGCGGCGACGGGGCCGCTGAAGGGCGGCGATGGGGCCGCTGGAGGGCGGCGACTGGGCCGCGGAAGGGCGGTGTCAGGGCCGCTGAAGGGCGGCGACGGGGCCGCTGTAAGGGCGGGCGGCAAGGCCGTGGAAGGGCGGCGACGGGGCCGTGGAAGGGCGGCGACAGGGCCGCTGAAAAGGGCGGCGACGGGGCCACTGAAAGGGCGGCGACGGGGCCGCAGTAAGGGGCGGCGACTGGACCGCTTAAAGGGCGGCGCGACGGGGCCGCAAGGGCGGCGCGACGGGGCCGTTAGGGGCCGTAAAAGGGGCGGCTAGAGGCCGCTTGAGGAGGAACGACACGGGGCGCGACTCGGGCAGGGGCCAAGCGTGCTCCGGGCAGGAAAAAAAAGTTGGTGGGCCCTAGGAACAGTTCCCACGAGGGAAGCAGCTCTATACCATGTGAAGATTAGAACAAGAGAATGATTGAACTATGAAAGAGTTGGGTACAAGTACTAACCCTAATTGGGTTTTACCCCTAATGGGCTACCCCACTACGGCCTACACAAATGTATAAGCTATAATGTTCTGACAAGCGCTGGAGATTGCTAGTGCATGAAGGGACTCGGTCGACGATGGGAATGCTAGCGCAGGCTCTGTTCGACGACGTTGACGGGCATTGCTGGTGTACAATAGTGGTCGACGAGACCCCTCGATGTGCACTGCTCGACGTGCTCTGCTCGACGAGCTAGTTTCGGCGAACGTTGTTCGACCAAGTAGCGTCGAGCTAGTCGATGAAAGTAGCTCGACTGCAATACCCGGCTTGAGAGCGAATGTCGCTCAAGAGGTCTTAGAAAAGCCGATCTGCGTAACATCGTCACATACTCTATGGCACACGGGTGGCGAGATCGTCGACACATGTTCTACCTGGCACCTGCGCAATGTGCCTGGCGGTGCGACCGTAGACCTGCACCTCCTTTGTATACTACCGTATCATATTGTTATCTATTGTTTGTTCTAATCCAGGCCTGCGTATTCAATGATTTTCAGTAAAAGTACCAAGCTGACAAATGTGTAGACGAGGGGATGGTTCAACATCAATGGAGATATTAACAAATTCTTTTAAGCATTAAAAATATTACAATTGATGATAGAGCTATTAATAAGAATTGTAGAGATTTCCCTTGTTTTTCAGGGCCTCCTATTCCTTATCAAGTTTGCCCATTGCAGTTTATGTTTTTATTTTGTTCACATATACGCTTTTATTTCTGTTGCAGCTGTGCTCTGTATTAAACTGCTCTGTGGCGCGTCATGCCACGCTTTCTCTGCAACACTTTCCGTTGAGTTTAGACGGAATCCGTCGAGGAAGGCGGATTTCCTCGACGGGCGTGGGGGAGCAGCTGGCGTCATCGCCAGCTCGTGCGGGGACCACTCCGAGCTGGCGGGGCTCGTTTCGGGCGGGCCGGGTGGCTTGCTCCCGCCCCTTGCGTGCCCCGCTACGCGACTACGGGAAAACAGAAATCCCTTCGAGGAAAACCCGCAGGGGCGAACGGGGTTTCGCGGAGGGATTCTGGCGAGGTCTTCCCTGGCAAATCCGCTCGACCTGCGCCTAAGACAATATAACTCCCCCCACGCACCTCCACCCTCACTCACGGATAGGTGACTGCAAGCGGGACCGGTGCGGTCTCGAATATTCGACTCCACCCTCCCGTTCCGCCTGCCCTATTGCGTTAGTGTGGGGCAGCCATCGCGCGCGACAACGCTTTTGTGATTGCGTATCGTTTCAGGTACCCAATGCGCTTCACCTGTGTCACACGGTATTATCCGCACTCCAGCGTCAGCATCGCCTATTTGTACTGTACCAGCGCCGCCCACCTCCGCCCCTACTGTGGCGGGAAGCTTTCCTCCCATCATTGACGCGACTCTCCCCACTTACCCTTTCGCTCGATTACACAAGATGCCCAACCCCTGCGCGCGAATTTGCCCTGCCCACGATGGAAACTCTGCACCCGTGTATTAGGGTGCCAGCCAGTTGCACCCCATTTACAAGCACCTCCAGCAATACGAACCACAAAAAACGAAGTTTGACAGAAGAGACCAACGTCAAACGGTGAACAGAGAGTTACAAAATCTTTTAAAGTCCCTTTTTACTAAGTGCGAATTGACGAAAACTTAGCGAAATGCAAGAATCACTTAAGAGCCCTCTTCACAAGGCAACCTTGGGCTAGTCAAACGGGCATCTTGTGTACGTGACTCAGCAGACTCTTCCGTGGACTGATTCTTGCGCCCTAGAGTCGTAGTAAGTGCTGTGCAGGGGTATCGCCAAATACTTTATCGAGTGCTTCTTTTCCGACGGCCACTCGTCATTTCGTTTCCGTCAGCTGCTTAAACTTCGCATTCATAGCCATTACTGCTACTGTTGTTTCTCTTAGGCTCCCACACCTATAAGTACCAGTATAGTAGCTGATTTCGCCATCGGCAATGGCGTCAAAGATAACGGATGACGACTTCCAGAGCCGTGTTCTGGACAACAAGCTCCCGTCTCTCGTTTATTTCTACGCGAATTGGTCCGGTCCTTGCAAGATGATGGATCCCTTGATTGATGAGGTTGCCGAGGATTTTTCAGGAACGGCTTCCTGTTACAAGATGGACACTGACGAAAGTCCCAACACGTCGGCCGAATATGGCGTCCGAACCGTTCCCACCGTGAAAATCTTCAGGGCTGGTCGTGAGCAAGAGACGCTCGTTGGCTGTGTGCCTCATTCGGAGCTGCCCACAACCCTCGATAATTTTATATGAGCTTCTTCGTCCTCTGCTGCCTTCACTCGAGATGACGATACTTACCTACATATCAAGCTGTCCGGCGTTTAGGGTTTGTCATCTCCGTGTTCTGTGCTGATATTGTCCAAACTGAAAATGTAACAGATGAAGTTTGTGTATAAGGTCACAGTACATTTGGCCTCACTTCCCACTCAAATCAGCACGGTCAAAGGGCCACCTGTTTCAAGGTGGACACTGACGAAAGTTCCTGGACATCGTCCGAATATGGCGTCCGAAGCGTTCCTACCGTGAAAACCTTCAGGGCTGGGCGTGAGCAGGAGACGCTCGTTGGCACTGTGAATGATTTGGCCCTGGAGAGAGCCCTCAAGAAAGTTGCATGAGGAGCTTCATGCTCTGCTGTCGTCACTTCGTAATACTTTACTTGCATTTTGACTGTCTGCATAAAATGCTGCTGGCGTTTAGGGTTTGTGATCTCTGTATGCCCTGCTGGTCTTGTCCAAACTGAAGAGTAGCAGGTGAACTTTTGTGTGTAAGGACGCCCTAGACTTGGGTTTAAAATAGCATGATGAGACTCATAAACAATCTGACTTCTATAAATATTTTTTCCAATCAGGTACACGTTGTGCAAGGTGATATTGTTGAACATAATTTAGCCGTTTGTCCCGTTCCACCCACTCTTTATCAGAACATGATGATGGCTGAACAATCGGGCATTTTAAGTTTGATTTGACAATGACATGGAGAAACAAACGAAAGCGATGCAAAGCAATTACTGTGGGAGTTACGCATTACATTTCGAGGCACCTCGAACGCACAAGTTGTTACATTCCTCCATTACGGTAGACCCTGAAGATGCATTATAGGCGGAGAATAGTCCGTATGGTGTCAGATAGGTTGTGTATGATGGCCTTCTCTTGTGTTACTTGCCATCCTTGTAGAGGCATCTCGTCCAAACACCTTATATGGGGGACAGACAGAGGGGCCAAAGAGAGGGCCGGAATGGGAGGTTACAGTTGACAACGGGCAAACACAGATACGGTAGCTAGCGGAGTGGGTAACTAGCAGCAGTCTCATTGTGTTGTCTAAATGATAAGTGTCTGAATGTGTTGCGAGCAGAGAACAAGAAAAAATTCAAGGAGGCACCAAAAGATTCGAAGACAAACAAGCCACGACATACTGTATGATGATACATGATCAATGATACAAGAATTTATACTCGTTATGAGGAGCATCACGTACTGTTTATGGTACGCCAGCGCTCGGGCGAGATTGGGGAGGGTGGTGCTGTTGGCTAGTCTGCGGTACACACTGGGGGGTAGTGGCACCTGTGGTGGGGATGGGGTGTAGAGTAAATGGTAGGAGAATCAAAGAGACGATTCAGAAAGAAAGGGCTGTTGGCTTGTCCGGCAGGAGAACAATCCAGGGATGGAGATGACTTTAGAGTCAGACTCAAATGTCATGCATTAAAGCTCGCAGCCCAAATTGTACAACTTTACTAAAGTTGCATGTTGGGAGGTGAGGGAGCAGGGTTGGAAAGTTGAGGTGTTGGGTGGGTTGAGGGCTTTGGTTTCGCCCAACCTCTTGCCAATCTCAAACACATTTCGCTGACTCAGCAGACCCCAGGGGCCACTTCGCGTTTGGTTGCATGAGTCCCATATTGCACAAATACTATCCTTGCCAGTTTCCCACCCAACCCCCTCCGCAAACACTGTTTCAATTTTGCTAGCCAATCAGCTCAGTGGTCAAATTGACTAGCCAATCAGCTTCCTTCGTACAGCCCGTAACCTCAATTCGCAAAACCAGCACCTGCAAAACAACTTTCGATCAACCTTACTAAGGTTGCACAGCGCGGCCCGCAATTTGGGCCGCGAGCTTTAACGGCATGTAGTGGGAATGGTAGGGGATCGAAAGAAGAGGCTGAACAGAAGGACGCTGTTGGGTGGTCCGACTGGCGCCCTTTACTTATCCTCGCCTCCTCCCTCACCTCAGCCGCGGGCGTTCGTCTGGCGCCTTTGCTCCCTGCCAGCCCACCACTCCCTGACAGCTCCTGAATCGCCTCCAGCCCACACTGGTCAAAGAGGGCCAGGTTGCCCTCGGGGCCTTGTAACCCCTCCCCTTGTAGCATCAGTAATTACTAAGGAGCACAGCACAGTATGGAAGGCTGCTACTGTGCCTCGCCTCAGCAGCAGGTGTTCGTCTGGCGGCCTTGCTGCCTGCCAGCTCCTGAATCGCCTCCAGCCCACACTGGTCAAAGGGAGCACCGTCGGGGCTCGAACCCCCCATGGCAGTACTAGCAACAGCAGAACTCAGTACAGGAACCAGCGGACCTGCATTCCTCACCTCAGTATGGAAGGCTGCTACCTCACAGTGTTCCGCCTCACCTCAGCAGCAGGTGTTCGTCTGGCGCCCTTGCTGCCTGCCAGCCCACCACTCCCTGACAGCTCTTGAATCGCCTCCAGCCCACACTGATCAAAGGGAGCCCCGTCGGGGCCGGATGAGGCGATGAGGGAGAGAGGGGAGATGTCGCATGCTCGGAGGAAGGGGATGGGGACCGTGTTGCCCGCTGCATACACCGCTGATAGCTGGGAGAGTGATAGGAAGGGGAAACGAGGAAAAGAAGTGGGGGGGTGGGGGGGGGGGGGGGGGGTAGGGGAAGATGAGGGTCAGAAATACAAGGCCACACGCTTTTGAAACGCCTAGAAAAACCACCAACCAGATGCCGTTACCTTGGGCTTAGACTCTCTCTCTCACCTTATCTTGCAGCCCAGGGCTGGCTCTCTAAGCAGGCCGGGTGCTATCAGCAATGGCCTGCCTCGTCCCATCCTCCATCGCCTGCCGTGCCCCTGCAAAGAAATCCGTGCCCTTCCTTCCTCCCCTCCTCCTTCTCATCTCCAGCTCCTCCTCTAGTACACACACTGAGTCAGCACACGCACGCGTGCCTCACTCAGCTGCACTCTTTCTTGAACAGGCGTACTCTCACCCTCTCTCACCCTCTCTCACCCTCTCTCACCCTCTCTCACCCTCTCTCACCCTCTCTCACCCTTGCTCACCCTCTCTCACCTTATCCTGCAGCCCAGGACTGGCTCTTTGAGCGGGGCGGGTGCTATCAGCAATGGCCTGCCTCGTCCCATCCTCCATCGCCTGTCTCGCCCCCGCAAAGAAATCCGTGCCCTTCCTCCTCTTCGCCTCCAGTTCCATGCCCGCTGCTGCTGCTTGCTTCGGGGGCACTGGAGGTCTCTCTGCCCTGCGGGACGGAGCAGACCTGGAAGGGGAATGCAGGGAGGGGAGGGGAGGGGAGGGAAAAGGTTGCCTGATACAGTCTCCCCCTCAAAGCAAAGAAATCCGTGCCCTTCCTCGTCAGGGCTTCTTGCTCCATGCCCGCTGCTGCTGCTTGCTCCGGGGGCACTGGTGGGCACTCTGCCCTTGGAGAAGGGGCGGACCTGGAAGGAGAGGGGAGATGGTGAAGCAGAGGGAGATGGTGAACCAGAGGGAGATGGTGAACCAGAGGGAGATGGTGAACCAGAGGGAGATGGTGAACCAGAGGGATGTGCTGACTTTGCTTTGCGTTGCCCACCCACCCATAGCTCCATTCTTTTTGGAATTCTCGAAGCGTGCACTCACTTGGCCTGGGCTGGCTTGGCCTTGCGCTGCCCCCCCAGCGCTGCCAGCGCTGCGCCAATCCAATGTTACCCGAAGACGACTCCACGCCCTGTATACTGCACACGCCCTGTATACTGCACACGCCCAATCACCACTACCACAATCCGAGCCACCCACACACACTCACTTGGCCTGGGCCGGCTTGGCCTTGCGCTGCCCGCCCAACGCCGCCAGCGCAGCGCCGATGTTATCCGAAGACGACTCCACGCCCTCCGCTGATGACGTGGCGGCTGCTGACTTGGCGGACGGCTCGTCTGACCTGGCGACACGCATCGTGCCCGTGTCCATCGCCTCATCCTCGGACTCATAATCCTTGTTCACAAACGTGCCGAAATCTGGGAAGTGGGCGGGAGGGGGGGAGGGGGGAAGAGGGGACGGGTGAGGGCACATGATGGAATGGAAGTGCCTCTTGCCGTGTCCATCACCTCATCCTCGGATTCATAGTCCTTGTTCACAAACGTGCCGAAATCTGTGTAAAGAGCAAGAAGGGGGAAGCGGAGTGGGGAGAAGGGGAAAGGGGAAGAGGGGGAAGGTGGGGGGCAGGTGGACGCGCATCGTCTGCCTCATCCTCGGACTCATAGTCCTTGTTCACAAACGTGCCAAAGTCTGTATCAGAATGCAGGTGCGGGGGGGGGGGGGGGACAGGTGAAAGCACATAATGGAAGTGCCTCGTACCACGGCCCATCACCTCATCCTCGGACTCATAGTCCTTGTTCACAAACGTGCCAAAGACTGTGTTGGGGTGAAAAGGGAGCAGCAAGAAGGGGAAAAGGGGCGGAGGCGCATCGTGCCCATGTCCATTGCCTCATCCTCCTTGTTCACAAACGTGCCAAAGTCAGGGATGTATTGTGTGGGTATGCACGGATATGAGGAGGAAGGGAGGGAAGAGGGAAAGCGGGGAAGGAAGCCACAGGGTCAGCAAATCTTTTTATCCTTGTTCACAAACGTGCCGAAATCTGTGTTTGGGTGAGTGGGGTTGGGGCAGGATACTAGGGGTAGCGAGCGGATAAAGAGTCATTGTTCAAAAACTTGTTTTCTGAGACGGCTCAAAAGATTCTGAGTACCTGACGCATAAGTCTGACTCATATAAATTGAAATGAGTGGTATTGGGGGGGTTAGGAAGGGGGAGGCAAGAGGGGAAGGAGTTGACCTACCAACCCACCTAGGGATGAGCAAGGTGGCGAACACCTGTTCGGTTCGCCTCGAACGTGTTCGAGGCGAACCGAACAGGTTTTGTTTTTTAGCTCAAATCGTTCGCCGAACAGTGTTCGATGTTCGCCCGAACACGTTCGTGTTCGGGCCGCTGCTGAAATTTGCCCGCGACGAACACGAACGTGTTCGAGGTTCGCCCGAACACGCCTCCACAGGCGAACAGCGAACACCTGTTTTTTCCTAAACTGTTCGCCGAACCGAACACTGTTCGGTTCGGCAAAAGAGGGTGTTCGACAAGGGGCGAAGACGAACATGTTCGTGTTCGCCCTTTGCTCATCCCTAAACCCACCTAACCTGTTTTGAGAATTCTCAAGAGTGATTTCAACTTAGGGAAGAGAGGAAGCTAAGTGACCATATACGCGTTTAGCGTATATACGCGTGTCGTATATACGCTATACGCATAGGTCCCGAATCCAGGAGTACGCTTTTTCGGGCAGGGTAAAAATAACCCGGGCAGGGTGAAAAAAACACCCTAGGTATAGTTCACGGGGGGGATTCACGGAGGTTGTGTCTCAGGTTCATTTTTTCCCCTATGACGCGAAATGCTTAAAGACTTCGTGCTCAACATCGGGAAGGTACTCCCTAATCTCACGAAGAGGACGTGGCCTATTGTTATCCTGTGTGAGATCAGATGGCGGCTTGGGAACTGCAGTAGAAATTATCGCGTAGGATACTAGGAGTGAGCGACTAGGTGGAATGGACAGATGGGGGAGGGACGGACGGGGGAGGGAACGTGAAGTAGATCTGACGAGCAACGATGTGTTGGAGGGGACGTACTGGAAAGGTTGGAGTTCGTAGATTGGGTTCGGTTCAAAGAGGTGGAACCCTGAAATTCGAAATTGCAACTCCGAAAGCCTCATCGGAATTCGGTCGTCGGAACGGTTTTGCCAGTGTCGTCGAAGGGGGTCGTCGGAGCCGAGAATGACGAGGCGTGCGACTGACGCGCGTGCGGGCCCGCCAGCCTGGCCCAGGACTGGGCCGAGCGCACGACCGCCGCTCCGCAGCCCCGCTCCGAAAGTGAACAGCGGCCCACGTTACCGGGTGGGGTCGGCGAACTGGCGACAACTCGCGCGTGGGAAAATTACCCTCGCGCGAAGGCAGCCCACACGTGCCACCTGCCCGTGAGGTCCTAGTAACCCATCGCGGCCTGACCGGACGGGCAGGCGAGGGCCAGGCGAAAAATCGGGGCCCCCTCGGGACACTCGACAATTTCGCGACCCGTTGCGGTCGCGCCACGTGTTCGCCCGTGGCTTCGCAGCGCGCGCATGCGAAATTTCGGACGATGCGAAATTAAAACATCTCGCATCTACCACCGCGATCCGCTACGAAAATCGACACGTGTCGGCCCTAGAGACGCTCCGCGCGCAGGCGAGTTGTGCGTCCCCTCGCCGACCTGGGCCAATGGACGCGAGGTCGTCGCTCTGCCAGGGCGGAGACGGACCACCTGTGCCACTAGCGCATGCGCCCTCCGAGCCCTACCGAGCCAGGCCCCACACCCTTGGGCGATGCTGAACGGCCCCACCCCCTTTTCATTGCGGAAGGTGGCTTCGCTCCTCATTTTCTCCTTTTCTCATTTTCCCAGACAGCTCTGCGCCTCCCCCTAGATCCGTGCTATCGTACCTTAGTCGATATGGAGCCGATCCCCGACGCCGAGAAGTCGGCGCCGACTTGGGCTGACTTTCCCCTTAGACACCGAATGGGTCGCGGTCTCAGCTTCACCTTCGAGTGGGACGACTTCGCCGCCCTTCGCGACCAGAAGAAAGAGTTCACCGACAGATGCTTGGGATTCGCCATCAGGTGGGACTCGAGTAGTCGCGGTTGGAGAATAGGGCGGATATCGGCGCCGACTTCCTCTAAATGGGCGCATAAAGTATATGTCGGCGCCGTCGGGGGCGGATTGTCGCAGATTGTCGCGACCCCGTCCATGGACGTCGGTCGGCATAGCAAGCGTCGATCTGGTAGCGTTTGCTTACCCGCCATCCCATCATCCCTCATGCCCACTCGTGCGCCCAGGTACGCTTGGTTTCGCAATGAACTGAACGACCAGAAGTTGTGGGTAATCGGAGTCGGCCTGCTTCGATCGGCCTTGAAGGCCGCAGACCATTCTTGCTTTGCTACGGTTTTCGACGCCGACATCGCCGCCATCCCGTTAAGCACGACGTGAGCTGTTTCCCCGTTGTCCAGTTATCGTTTTGTTTAGTCGGTCGCATCATCGCCTAATGTTGTGGTCGACGCCGTCGTGTATTGCATGTGCAGCGGCGGTCCGCTTCCAGGGTCACACTGCAGCGTCATAGCCATCCTCTACCCAGGAGATCTGCTGAAGGCTGAGGGACAGGTCTGCAGGACCTCGATCCGGCACATCGACCCGCATACCGGGAAACTGAAGCACCGCGACGAGGCCGTCCGCGTGCTGAAGTAAGTTGTGAATAGTCGTCGATTTCCCGCTTGTTAGTCGCCGACCCAGGGTATCACATGCTGACCGCCTTCCTTTACCACGATGCTCCAGGCTATTCCGCACGGCAGTCCTGGCCGAGCTGGGGCGTCCCGGTAGGCAGTGGGACGGGGCACCGCCATCACAAGCAGTGGTGGAGGACAGGCTTGCCGACTGCGACCACCCTATCCGCGACGTGAGTTGCACGTTGCACGTTTATCCATTAAGGAGGGTGCACGTTTCTGTATGCTCCGCTCACAATGTTCTGCGCTTGCCGGTGTTGTATGCAGAAAGTGCCAGACACAGTGTCGGACGAGAAGGTCGGCACCGGCATGCTTGCTGCGACGTCGTTCGGGTGGGTGGCCAAGCAGGTTGACCTGCTGACGGGCGAGAAGGGTCGTGGTGCGGTGAGACTCGAGAACATCAAGACAAAGGGGCTAAAGTTGTTGCGAGACAGCATGGTGGAGTACATCTGCAAGCGCATCGCCGAAAAACGCTCTGCGGCGCCGACATCACAACCCGCTGACTGTGTGATTGATGACGATGGCGCGGAAAGACAGACGGCGCCCCAAGCAGCAGTTGCCGCCCAGCATCGGGGGAACGCGAAGGTGTCCGCGGAAGGAGGAAACGGTGGTGGAGGAGGCAACGCTGCGACAGGTGGAGGAAGGAAGGAAGAGGAGGATTCGGAGGAGGATTCGGAGTCGGAGTCGGAGTCGGAGTCTGAGGAGGAGGCGGAGAAGCGGAAGGACGAGGACGAGGACGAGGAGGAGGAGGAGGAGGAGGAGAAGGACGAGAGGGATGACGGCCATGAGGAGGAGCAAGGGAAGGATGAGGAGGGGGAAGGGAAGGATGGGGAGGGGGAAGGGAAGGATGAGGAGGGGGAAGGGAAGGATGGGGAGGGGGAAGGGAAGGATGAGGAGGGGGAAGGGAAGGATGGGAAGGGGGACGGGAAGGATGAGGAGGGGGTGGAGGAAGTGGTGCAGTACGAGGTGGAGTTCGAAGAGGAGGAAGCTGCAGTAGAGGCGGTGGGGTCGGTGGATGAAAAGAACGAGGAAGCGGAGGATGGAGATGCGGGTAATGATACGAGGTCGGCAGATGGGGGGAAGGAGAAGGATGAGGTCGGCGTGGAGGCAATGACGGAAAAGGGCCAGGAGGAGGCGGCATGCGAAGGTGGGAAGGTGTCGGTCGACGCCGGCGAAGCGGCGAACACCACGGGCGTGCAGGAGACGGGGGACGCTTCTGATCGGCCGGGTAATGAGCTGGACGACGTCGAGCAGGTGCGAAGGGAGAACTGGCTGTTGAGGGCGGAGAACGCTCGGCTGGCGACGTTGCTCGATGCGGAGCAGGCTCGGCTGGACAGGTTTTTTGTTGGGATACGTGGACTCGTCGACCACGTGAAGGAGTTGGCCGAGCAGGTCGACGACACCGAGAAGTATGCGGCGGAACAGCTGCGAAACGCGACGGCGGCCATGTCGAAGACAATCACGGGCAACATCACCGGCAGCTTCGACGAAGCGTGGAAGACGATGAAGACCTTCGCGGAACAGGCGACGGCGTGGTTGGAGGACTTCGACAACCCGCAGGGTCGTGCAACTGCCACACGACCCTGAGATATACTTCCAATTTTGTCCGCTGAGATTTACTTCCTGAGATTTACATCCTGGACGGTCCGATTTTTGCCGCGTGGATCGAGCTGGCCCATTTTCAAAGGTGTGAATGTTTTCCCGCTTTGGGAAAATCACCGCTGGGGCGACGCGTGGCCACGACGGCCACGTCGTGGCAGCCTAGTACACGGTGGGGACGGTCCGGCTCCCCCCTATTGGTCCGCGTGGCGGCAGTCGCGGCTCAACGTGGCGAGCTTTCCTATTTTGTCCGCTGAGATTTACTTCTCAGGAATCTCCCAGCGCAAACGTATGTCGTCGGATTGTCGACATTCCCGAGGGCTCCCGAGGCCCCTGGGACGCCATTTGGGCCCAGCTTGGAGCTCGGAGGTCGTCGCGAGCTCGTCAATCCCGAGGGGGGCCCTTGTCCCTTCTGGACCGCGAAATTGGGCGGCGTTTTTCGTCGGCTGAGGTATATCATCCCAACCTGAATCGAAACATTGAAGTGACATTCCTGCTACCCTAGATCTCCGATGAGCAGCATTTCGACCACCGCGAAATGATCGCCGTGAAAGACGGCAGATTTCTATATATTCCAGAAAATTTTCACCTTGGGCTGCCCAGAGAAAAACTCCCGAGCGTATAGCGTATTTGCTAGAGTATAGCGTTTTGCATGTATACGCAAGCGGATAAACGCTATACGCTTAAAGGCAAAAGCGTTTTCGGTCACTTGGAGAGGAAGGAGTTGACGGGAGGGACCTTTTGGATACACTCCCCAACATAGCATAGCACCCACCAGGTTCATCATCATCAGCATAGGTTGATGGTGTAGAGCGAGCCTTCACTGTCCCACCTACCCCAGTCACCACCTACGCCAGTCACCACACCACCTACGCCAGTCACCACACCACCTACGCCAGTCACCACACCACCTACGCCAGTCACCACACCACCTATGCCAGTCACCACACCACCTACGCCAGTCACCACACCACCTACGCCAGTCACCACACCACCTATGCCAGTCACCACACCACCTACGCCAGTCACCACACCACCTATGCCAGTCACCACACCACCTATGCCAGTCACCACACCACCTATGCCAGTCACCACACCATCTACGCCAGTCACCACACCACCTACGCCAGTCACCACACCACCTACGCCAGTCACCACACCACCTACGCCAGTCACCACACCACCTATGCCAGTCACCACACCACCTACGCCAGTCACCACACCACCTACGCCAGTCACCACACCACCTTTGCCAGTCACCACACCACCTATGCCAGTCACCACACCACCTATGCCAGTCACCACACCACCTATGCCAGTCACCACACCACCTATGCCAGTCACCACACCACCTATGCCAGTCACCACACCACCTATGCCAGTCACCACACCACCTATGCCACTCACCACACCACCTATGCCAGTCACCACACCACCTATGCCAGTCACCACACCACCTATGCCAGTCACCACACCACCTATGCCAGTCACCACACCACCTACGCCAGTCACCACACCACCTACGCCAGTCACCACACCACCTACGCCAGTCACCACACCACCTATGCCAGTCACCACACCACCTACGCCAGTCACCACACCACCTATGCCAGTCACCACACCACCTACGCCAGTCACCACACCACCTATGCCAGTCACCACACCACCTACGCCAGTCACCACACCACCTACGCCAGTCACCACACCACCTACGCCAGTCACCACACCACCTATGCCAGTCACCACACCACCTATGCCAGTCACCACACCACCTATGCCAGTCACCACACCACCTATGCCAGTCACCACACCACCTATGCCAGTCACCACACAACCTATGCCAGTCACCACACCACCTATGCCAGTCACCACACCACCTATGCCAGTCACCACACCACCTATGCCAGTCACCACACCACCTATGCCAGTCACCACACCACCTACCACAATTGGCACCCACCAGGTTCATCATCATCAGCATAGGCGGATGGTGCAGAGCGTGCCTTCACTGTCCCCCCCATGGCGTCTCCCCTCTGCCTCACCGTGCCTGTGCCCATGGACTGGGGGACCGAAATGGCCATGGGGGAGGGAAAAGGGGAAGGACGCAGGGAAGGGGAAAAGACACAGCTAAGTGCTGCTGCCTTCACTGTCCCCCCCATGCTGCCTCCCCTCTGCCTCACTGTGCCCGTGCCCATGGGCTGCACTGCACCCACACGGAAGGTGGGAGAGGGTTGAAAGGGATAAAGAGCGATACAGAGAGGAGTAGAAAGAGATGTAGGTTCAGAAAATGCATCCACTAGTGGGTGGAATGGAAGGCTCCCTTCCCCCCACAGCATCTCCTGTTGGCTTTGCTGTGCCTGTGCCTGGGCCTGTGCCTGTGCCTGGGCCTGTGCCTGTGCCTGTGCCTGTGCCTGGGCCTGTGCCTGTGCCTGTGCCTGTGCCTGTGCCTGTGCCTGTGCCTGTGCCTGTGCCTGGGCCTGTGCCTGGGCCTGTGCCTGTGCCTGTGCCTGTGCCTGTGCCTGTGCCTGTGCCTGGGCCTGTGCCTGTGCCTGTGCCTGTGCCTGTGCCTGTGCCTGTGCCTGTGCCTGTGCCTGTGCCTGGGCCTGGGCCTGTGCCTCTGCCTCTGCCTCTGCCTCTGCCTCTGCCTCTGCCTCTGCCTCTGCCTCTGCCTCTGCCTCTGCCTGTGCCTGGGCCTGTGTCGGAAACTCATAATCTGTGGCATCCCATGGCTTGCCTCCTCCTTCCTGCTCTCACCCTCCCCCCCTTCTTCTTCCAAGCTCTGTTCCTGTGATACCTTACCTGCTCTGCCTCAGCCACTACCTGCCCCCTCCAGAGCTCGTGCTCGGGTCTCCCGTGCACGTGTCACTGGACACTCTTGCTGAGGCCGGGTGCTTCTCACCACTGCAGCATTCGTCAGGCGGTTCCCCGTCTGCTCTCTTCTCTGATTCCTCTGCACCAGCACTCTTGGACCCCCCATGTCCTGCGTCTCTCTTCTCTGTGTATCCAGTGCCACTTCCAGCATATCCCTCTCTGCAGGTATGCTCCCTGTCCCATGCCACCCAGTTCTCAGCCACTCTCATTCCCGCTGGTTCTGTCAGCACCTGTGTTGCTGGCTCCATCGACTCATCTTCCCATGTCTCTCCCTTAATCCCCTTTACTGTCTTCACGGCCTTTTGTTCTTTCTTACTCATTGCATCTCCCACTGTATGCTCCAGTCCTTCTCCTATTGTCAGGCACTCCCACGCCCCCTCTTCCTTGCTCTCCCTCGCTGCTTCTTCCTGCTTCTTGGCCGGGTCCCTCACCGGACCTTCCCATCGAGCGACCCATAGGTCACCTTGCCCCTGGTTACACGCCGCATCTGCTGGTATGCTCCTCACATCCGCCTCGGGTCCTCTCACGGCTTCTTTTCCCATTTCTTCCCCCTTCAGCTCTGGATGTCCTGCCCACAGCTTCCTCACTTGCTGCTCCACCATCCCACTTTCCTGCGCTTGCTTGTCTGCCTTTAGTACACGTGCCCGTGCCCCCACCTTCTCGTCTTTTCCTCCTGCTTCTGCGGCTGCTGGTGCGCACGCCCATGCCCCCTTTTTCTTGGCTTTCCCTTCTGCTACCGCTGCTGCCACTACACGCGCCTTTGCCCCCACCTTCTCTTCTTTCCCTTCCTCTTCTGCTGCTGCTGCTACACACGCCTGTGCCCCCACCTTCTCTTCTTTCCCTTCCTCTTCCGCTGCTGCTGCTACACACGCCTGTGCCCCCACCTTCTCTTCTTTCCCTTCCTCTTCCGCTGCTGCCACCACACATGCCCGTGCCTCCACCCCTTCATCCACCACTTCCGCTTCCGCTGCTGCTGGTACACATGCTCTTGCCCCCACCTGCTCATCCTTTTCCTCTGCTTCCGCTGGCGCTGGTACACACGCTCCTGCCCCCACTTTCTCATCCTTCTCCTCTTCTTCCGCTGCTGCTGGCGTTACTAACATGCACGCCCATGCCCCCACCTTACTCACTTGCTTCCTTCGCACGTTCCTGCCCCCACTGTGCAGCCGCATGTCCGCATGGCCACGCAGCGCCGCACAGGAGCGTTCCGGCTCCTGCTCCTCTTCCTCCTCCTCGTACAACCCCGCTTGCCCCTGACTTCTTTCTCCCAGCGCCTGCAGTTGGGCTCGTAACTGTTTGATCTGTTCCTCAATCTCCTCGGGTGATCTCCCTGCCTCCCTTACTTTCTCATAGCAGTTCCTTGCCTGATGCCCCTTTTTCCCACCTTTCTCATAGCTCGGTACATCTGGGCAGTCCCTTCGGCGGTGCCCAGGCTTTCTGCACACATCACAGTTCTTGCACTCCCTCCTGATATGCCCTTCCTGCCCGCACCTGTGGCACGTCCGTGTTTCTGCTTGCCACTCCTGCCACTGTTCCTCCTCACCCTCGTCCTCGGTTATCATCGCTGCAGCCCACCTGGGCCGCCCTTCCTCTGACACCCTTGGCAGGTACGCCTCGTACCGCCTCTGCGCCAGCTCCACTCTCTCTGCCAATTCAAACACCTCCTCTAGCGTTGCTTCCGCTCCCAACTCATACACTCTCATTCTCAGTCCCCCACTCAGTCCTTCATCTAACCCCCCCAGAAACTTGCTAATTAATATGCTGCTGTCCGTGCAGGCCACATCCTCAGCTAGATTGGCGAGCCTCCCAAAGTATGTGAGTAACGACTCCACCTTACCCCGCCTAAACTCCTGAAACTCTCGGATACGGTCGGCCGTGTGGCCCGGGAACTGTTTTCTCAGTCGCTCAAGGAACAGCGTCGTGGGATCATCTCCATCTTCCTCTGCCCGTCTCAGCCACTCCGGCATCTTCATTCGGTACAGCGTCTCAGCTTCGCCCCCCAACGTATTCGGCAGGCTTAAGAAAAACTCTATCGGGTCCATCCCGCTTCTATCGCAGCGGTACTTCACAATTGCGATCTGCATCAGGTAATTCTTTAGGTTGGTTCTGGAACCTGCTCCCCCCGTAAAGCGCACCGGCACCTCCACCTGAGGTGGGGCCTGCACATTCCACCTCCCCGTCTCCCAAGACCCTGAGATCTCATTCCTTCTGCTACTCTCTTCTCCCTCGACTCCCTGCTCTTCGACGCTGTCCCATACAGTACTTGATAGATTCCTTCTCTGGCTGCCCTTGCTCCCCCAGCGCCTGCCCATGACTGCTGCTGCCTTCTCGGCCATGTCGGACTTGAGCTCCTTCCCCCTTCTCTTTCTTGAGCTTCCCCATATCTCTTCGATCCCCACCCTGATCTCTCCCTCTTTTCGGGGTAATATTCTTCCCAGCGCCCCTCCCTACGGCCCGACCCGTGGCGTGCAGGTCGGTCACGCTCTCCTTCCTCGTTCTCTAAGTCATTCGCAGGCATCATCTCCCGTCGCCTACTCTGCTTCTCTCCTCTCCTTTTCTGCACCTTGTCGTCTTGCTTCTCCCTCACCTCCACATTGTACTCCCTACGCCCCTCTTGCCTTCCCGTATACTCCTCCTTTCCTCCACCGGATGGTTTCTTCTCGCGCCGCTCCTGCTTCCTGCGTCGGCGCCGCTCCAGATTATACCCATCGTCCTCCTCTTCGCTATAGTCATGTTCCTTCTCTTCACGCAGCTCCTCACCACTCCTTCTCGTCTTCTCTCTCCCCTCCTTCCTCTCAAGGGACTCTCCTTCATCACGTCTCCCTCGTCCGCCTGCTCCTCGGCGCCCATGATCCTCTCTTCTTCTTCCTTTGTCACTTCCCGGGTCCTTCCCAGGGGACACTCGCCGGCAGCGCTCTTCCTCACTCTTTGTCCTGTTTATCTTTCTCTCCTGCCTCCCCCTTGCCTCTCCGACAGGTTCCTGCACCAACCCTGCTCCCGCGCACGGATACTCTTCTATTTCTTCACGGCGCGCTCTCGCACCTGCACCCGTGACGTACTGCGACGAACACTCACTGCCCTTGACACGTGCTTCCCTCTCCTCCGTCCGCTGCCATGCAGGCGAGCGCTGCGCGCGCCTCCTATCGCGGTCGTCCTCACTTTCCTTTCCCCCCTGCTCTGGTGATTGCCATCCGCCCAACGCCATGCGCCTCCTGCGCTCATGTCCGCGTCTCGGCTCAGGCGAGCCATACACTCCCGCCTGCACGTCTCGCCTCCTTTCTTCCTCACGGCTGGCTTCTGGCGCGCGCTTAGCCTCCTTGCCTTCGCCGAGCCTTGCATTACTTCTGCGCAGCCTGGCTGGCGAGCGATCTGCATCTGCACCCCCGCGGCGCCTCGCATCATTCTCAGGCATTTCGCCCGCCGAACCGCCCGCATCCGCGCTCCCCTGGCGCCTCGCGCCATTCCCGCTCATTTCGCCTGTCGAACCTGCTGCAACCGCGCTTCCGTGGCGCCTCGCGTCATTCTCAGGCATTTCGCCCGCCGAACCGTCAGCATCCGCGCTTCCACGGCGCCTCGCATCATTCCCACGTATTTCACCCGTCGAACCAGCTGCATCCGCGCTCTCGCGGCACCTCGAGCCATTCCCGCGCATTTCGCCAGCAGAACGATCCGCATCCGCACTCCCGCGGCGACCTGCGCTACTCCCACGCACTTCGTCTGTCGAGCGGCTTGATCCCGTCGCCCTTCCGCGCTCTTCGCGTTTCTCTCCATGGCGCCTCTCGCCTCCCTCGTGCATGTCGTCCGGCGAGCGATCTGCTCCCGCGTCCTTTGGATCATCCTCCGTCGTCTCCTCGCCGTCGGCCTCGTTTGCCAACATCAGCCATCCCGTTTCGTCGGCATCTTCATGATGCCCTTCACCCGCGCCCCGCTGGCCTCTTGCCAGATCCCAGTGACCGCTTCTTGACGGCTGAGGCCTCGTCGCCAATCTCATCTGCAGATCGGTCTCACCTCCATCGCGCCGTCCGTCACCTGCTGCCATCCGATCCGCCCGATCCGCCTCTCTCTTAGGCGAGCGATCTGGCGATCGTTCCCGCTCCTGTGAGCGCATCCGTCGCAACGGCGGAATTTCCCGACGCGAATACGTTCGCTGCCAGCGCAGCTCGTGGCAGTCCATACTGCCAATTCTTTCTCTCGTTTGTGAGAGACTCTGGCTCCCACACGATGGCTGCCCTCAGTGGCCTAGTCACCTAGCTGCTGTAGCGTTAGAACGGCAACGTAAATCCACTATTTTAGGCAAACAAACGAGAGAACGAACTAAGCAGTGAGTTCCTAGTCTATTTGAATCTCTATCCCGTGCCGCGCAGTTTCCCGTAACTCACATTGGGCTCCGCCCGCTAGGCTTTAGGATTGGCCTTTCAGATTGCCCAGGGCTCGCCCTTGAATTTGTCCCACCCTGCGCCTCGCAAGTCCCTGAATCACCACTTTGCGTCAATCCCCACGCCCCAAACTCACCTTCTACAGTACTTCGAATAACCCAACTACACCTACACTAGCAAGTAACTGAATCTATTGCAAACAACAATACATTCTGTGACACCTGTGCCTGTGCCTGTGCCTGTGCCTGTGCCTGGGCCTGGGCCTGGGCCTGGGCCTGGGCCTGGGCCTGGGCCTGTGCCTGGGCCTGTGCCTGTGCCTGTGCCTGTGCCTCTGCCTCTGCCTCTGCCTCTGCCTCTGCCTCTGCCTGTGCCTGGGCCTGTGCCTGTGCCTGTGCCTGTGCCTGTGCCTGTGCCAGTGCCAGTGTCTGGGCCTGGGCCTGTGAAGCATGGACTAAGTCGACATGGAGGGACGTGAGAGGGGCGGGAGAGGGACATGAGAGGGATAGAGATGGACTAACTAACAAGAATTTAATCATGCGCGGGTGGCATGTGCCTAAGCATGCAAACCACCCATCTGCTCTCTCTACCACCAACACTCACATCCTCCAAGATGATGTTCTGCTCCTCCAAAGCAGCGGCCGCTAGCCACTGTTTCGTTACCTCTTCTCTCATCGCCTTGGCCTGGTCGATCCGCTTCTTCAGCACCACAGCCGTGTCCTTGCACTTCTCGATGAACTTGTGCTGCAGCAGTGCTGGGTACACCCGTACCTGTAACTGTAAGCAACCTCGCAACCACAGGCTACCAACCACTCTGCTGCCCTGAGAAACTCACATCTTCCGAAACGCTGTTCTGCTCCTCCAGGGCAGCGGCAGCTAGCCGTTGCTTCTTTGCCTCTTCTCTCATCGCCTTGGCCTGGTCGATCCGCTTCTTCAGCACCACAGCCGTGTCCTTGCACCTCTCGATGAACTTGTGCTGCAGTAGTGCTGGCGTGGTGGGGCGCTGCTTGGGCTCCTTGATCAAACACTTGGCCACAAAATCGTGGAATAAAAGGGACCTGCAGGGATAATGTGCGGTATGATGCAGTACAATGAAGGTACAATGCGGTTCAGCTGGCGTGGCGTGGTGGGGCGCTGCTTGGGCTCCTTGATTGAACACTTGGCCACAAAATCGTGGAACAGGAGGGACCTGAAGGGCGAGGAGCGGATAGTGTGCGGTATGATGAGCTATTATGCGGTGTAATGTGGTTCAGTTCAAAATACGCACATCATTTAAAAATCAGAAGAAAGAGAGCTTCAAGTTGCACACAGGGAGGGAGGGATCTCAGCGTGATCAAATTTTTAGGCGCCTCAAAAGCAGTTTTTTTAACCATGGCGCCTTGAAAGCAGTTTTGAGGCGCCCCGAAAGAGAGATTCGAGAAATGGCCCGAGGGGGATATCAGCGCAAACAGTTGGAAGAAACTGGTTGGAAGAGCTTTCGAGGAGCCTCTAAAAACTTTCCAGGTGACTCAGCATGAACAGATAGACGAAATGTGGGGGAAGGTTCTATTGAATCGAGAAAGAGCATCACCTGGAGAATCGCTCACCATTTCTCGGGGTCCTCTAATGTGGGTGAAGGTTCTCTGGAGATCATGAAAAGCACCTGGAAGAGTGGGCGGGGAGGGTGAAGAAGGGTGGATAGCGGTTAAGGAGGGTGGAGAGGAGTGGAAAGGGGCGAATTACTTGTCTAGAAAGAAGCTCCATACCTGGCAAACATGTTGTGGCGAGGCGAACACAGCATATGATTCTTTCAATGACAGAGTGGATGGCTTAGTGCATGAATAAGCCAGCAAACAAGGGAGGGACGGCTTAGGCAAGCAAGCACTCACTCGCATGGGATGGATGTTGGATCGTGGTGGCAGGCCCTGCTCACACACGGGTGGTTGGTGGCGATCACGCGGGGGAGCGGAGGGAAAGGGGGTGAGGGACGGCATGGTGTGATGGGAAAGGTGGTCGCCACGTGGCACATACCCTGTGCTGTGCTGCCATCGGGAATGCATGACATACCATACCATTTTGCTGCCGCTGACAAGGCATGCATGCATGCATGCATGCATCCATCCATCCATCCATCCATCCATCCATCCATCCATCCATCCATCCATCCATCCATCCATCCATCCATCCATCCATCCATCCATCCATCCATCCATCCATCCATCCATCCATCCATCCATCCATCCATCCATCCATCCATCCATCCATCCATCCATCCATCCATCCATCCATCCATCCATCCATCCATCCATCCATACATACATACATACATACATACATACATACATACATACATACATACATACATACATACATACATACATACATACATACATACATACATACATACATACATACATACATACATACATACATACATACATACATACATACATACATACATACATACATACATACATACATACATACATACATACATACATACATACATACATACATACAGACTGCGAGCATGCAAGGCGTACCTCGGCCATTTCAATGGCAGTGATGCCCAGTGCCCACACGCCCACCTTGCCGTCGTACAGACAGCACCATGAGCCATGCATGCATCCCTCCCTCACCACCACGTGGAACCATTTTTCGAGCCGACCAGCATCTCCATCACCACCATCACCTGATGCCAATGATCATCCCGTCCGTGTGTAGTGAGTCGAGTTTTGAGTCGACTCAAAACTCGACTCAAGAGTCGACTCAAAACTCGAACCACCACCTGATGTCAATGATCATCCCGTCCGTGCTGCCCCTGCCACGGCAAGGCAATCCCTGTGTTGCCTAGGACATGCGCACCTCGGCCATTTCAATGGCAGTGATGCCCAGCGCCCACACGTCCACCTTGCCGTCGTACAGACTCTCCTGAATCACCTCCGGTGCCATCCAGTGGGGCGTGCCTATGAACTGCAGAGGGGAGAGAAAGGGTGCAGAGGGACACGGACGAGACAGGATGTTGCCCTTTTTTATCTGAAGGAACCGCCCTTGGTGCTTAGACCGCCCCACCCCTCTACACATCACAGAATCACACAAGAACCGCTCCTCACCGTGTTGCGTTTGGACATGGTGCGGGTGAGCTGTGCCGCCACCCCAAAGTCGCCCAGCTTTGCCCCCAAGTCGCTCAGCAGGATGTTGCCCTTTCCTAACCACACACACCACCGCTCTACACCACACAAAACCGCTCGTCATCGCACGTCACCGCTCCTCACCGTGTTGCGTTTGGACATGGTACGAGTCAGCTGGGCCGCCACCCCAAAGTCTCCCAGCTTGATCTCCCCCGAGTCGCTGAGCAGGATGTTGCCGCCCTTGATGTCCCGATGCACCTTGCCTATCTCGTGCAGGTAGGCCAGGCCCTGAAGGGATAACGTTTTGGGCTCAAGGCTGAATCTTAAAAATATCAAGGTTGGAGGGATAGGAAACGGCAGTGAGTGCTGCAAGAGTTGCTGAGCAGGATGTTCCCCCCCTTGATGTCGCGATGCACCTTGCCTATCTCGTGCAGGTACGCCAGACCCTGATGGGGATTAGGGTTTGGGGTTTAGGGCCCAAGATTCAATCTATTGGGTTAACGAAGGGAGAGAGAGCAGCAGGGACAGTAAGAGTCGCTGAGCAGGATGTTGCTGCCCTTGATGTCTCGATGCGCCTTGCCTATCTCGTGCAGGTTGGCCAGACCCTGAACGGATTAGGAATTTGGGTTCCAGGTTTGGGGTTTAGGATTGAAGCTTTTAAGTTGAAGGTGAGAGGATGGGAAATGGCAGTGGGTGCTGCTGCGAATCACTCAGCAGCATGATGGTGTCACTCAGCAGCATGATGGTGTCACTCACGCACCTTAAGCAACTCCCGGCACACATAGCCAATCATGCCCTCCTCAAGCAGAGAACCTATGTTGTTTGACTGCCACTGACTCTGACTTCCATTGACTCCCATTGACTCCCATTGACTCCCGTTGACTCACCTTGATGGACTCCCGGCACACGTATGCAATCATGCCCTCCTCAAGCGGCGAGTGCGTTGACTGCCATTGACTTTGGTTGACTGCCACACACCCACCTTAATTGACTCCCGGCACACGTAGGCAATCATGCCCTCTTCAAGTGGCGAGTCCGTGTTGTTCATAAGGTCAGCCACGCTGCCACCCCCACAGTACTCCATCACAATCTGTTTCAGGAGAAGGAGTGCAGGGAAAGGCAACAAGGAGAGAGACATATGCAATCATGCCCCCCTCAAGCAACAAGTCCGTGTTGTTCATGAGATCAACCACGCTGCCGCCACCACAGTACTCCATCACAATCTGTTTCAGGGGAAGGGTGTTTGGTGGGAGCGAGTGCAGGTTAAGGCAACGAAGAGAGGAGACGAAAAGTCCGTGCTGTTCACGTGACCAGCCACACGGCTACCACCGCAACCAAAATCCTGTGGTTTACTGCAGGTGTTCGAATCACGAGATGCCGAAACGGATTTTCTCATACTCGCCCAGAAATTCGTCCCCCTGATAGCTACCATAGCACCGGGGCGACTTAAACAAAGGATATCAAATCAAACCGAATCAAATCTACTCACCCAGAGAAAGTCGTCTCCCTGGTAGCTGCCATGGTAGCGCACAACGTTGGGGTGGTTGCACTGCTGCAGCATCTCGATCTCCCCCCTTATCTCCTCAAATCCCTCCTCCTGTCGAGCAAGGAAGAGGAGGAAAGAGGAGAAAGCGGATTGAGAAATAGGGTGGGATCGCAGGGTGCATGACGTTGGGGTGGTTGCACTGCTGCAGCATCTCGATCTCTCCCCTTATCTCCTCAAATCCCTCCTCCTGCGATAGAGGCACAAGGGGAGGGAGGGAGTGGAGCAAAGGGGAATGAGGATGAGGGGAGGAGAAGGCAAGTCAAGGAGGGTGCATGACGTTGGGGTGGTTGCACTGCTGCAGCATCTCGATCTCTCCCCTTATCTCCTCGAGTCCCTCCTCCTGAGATGGAAGGAGTGGATGGTACATGACAGTGAGCGGAGACAAGAGGTGGCCGGAGGAGGAAGGGGAAGGAAGAGGAGGTTAACGGGGAAGCGGAGGGAAGCGATGGGAAGAGAAGAAAGGGGAGGAGGAAGAGGGAAGAGGTGGAGAGAAGGAAAGAGGAGGAAGGAAAGAGTGGAAGAAGAGGGATAGCAAAGCAAAAGAAAAAAAGCAGGGGGGAGAGGAAGAGGAGAGGGCCACAAGGAGGAACAATCTTGTCCTCTTCCTCTCCCCCCTTGCGAGAATAATCTTCTCTTCACTTACCCCTTCAGCCAGAGAAATTACTTTGATGGCCACCAGCTCTGAGCTAATGCGGTCTCGCCCCTTGTACACCGAACCATATGAGCCCTTGCCTGCAGGAGGGGGGCGGGACAGGTGTAGAGAGCAGAGCAGGTGGACATGTGGGGAGGGGAGCAAGGAGGTGGAGACAAGAATGAGGGCGGACACAAATGAGGGCGGACACGAATGAGGGCGGACACGAATGAGGGCGGACACGAATGAATGCCACAGTTATTTTAAAACCACAGCCTCGCAATGACTAGTGGAACCTCCCACACTCAGCCATCCAGCTCAACCCCTCACACACCCAGCTCCATGTCATGCCCTGCCATGCCATGCCACGTGCCATGCCCTGCCATGCCATGCCACGTGCCATGCCCTGCCATGCCATGCCACGTGCCATGCCCTGCCATGCCACGCCACGTGCCATGCCATGTCATGCCATGTCAAACGAACGCCCCTCACTCACCCACCCCTCGCACTCACTCACCCAGTTCCTCCAGCAGCTCGTATTTCAGTGTAGGGTCCTCCCACGAAACGTGAATACTCGACCCTGCCACAATTCCTGGCCTCCATGCCAGGTCATGTGAAACAAACATCTACCTCACTCACCCAGCTCCTCCAGCAACTCGTATTTCAGAGTGGGGTCTTCCCTGGAAACATGGATGCTCAATCCTGCCATGCCACGCCCCCTCCCCCGCCCTTCTTCTCCTTGGGAGCAACGTCCTTGTGCCCTGCCATGCTCCTTGCCATGTGATGCGATACCACAACAATACCACACCATGCCATCCATAACCACACGAGACTACGCCAGGCCATGCCATGCCATATTATCTCATGTGAAACAAACCCCCCGCACACATACCCAGTTCCTCCAGCAACTCGTATTTCAGAGTGGGGTCTTCCCTGGAAACATGAATGCTCGACCCTGCAATGCCCCCTCCCCCGCCCTTCTTCGCCTTGGGAGCCACGTCTTTGTGCTCCGCCATGCTCCTAGCCGCCGCTGCCAGGGACCCAGTCCCGTCCTTCTCCCCCTTCCCTCCTTTCCCCCCCTTCTCCCCCTTCCCTCCTTTCCCCCCCTTCTTCCTCCGCCCTCCCCCCTTGCTCTTCCCAGACACAACCACAGTGCCAAACTGGTTTTCTTCCTCTTCCTCATCCTCATCATCCTCCTCATCGCTATCCTCCTCCTCGTCGTCGCTGCGGCCTCGCCGTTTCGAAACAACCATCGTTCCAAAGTCCCCCTCTTCCTCCTCCTCGCTCTCTTCCTTTCGCCGCCGCCCCTTTTTTTTGGCCGACTTGCTCACCACCATTGTGCCAAAATCCCCCTCTTCACTACCCTCCTCATCTTCCTCTTCTTCCTCTTCCTCCTCTTCTCGCCTCCTGTTACCCTTCGTTTTACTCACAACCATCGTTCCGAAGTCCCCATCTCCGTCACTCTCCTCCTCTTCCTCCTCCTCCTCTCTCCTCCGCCCTCCTCTTCCTCCCCCTCCTCCCCTTCTCCCCCCACCACCCCTCCCCATCTGAGCTCGCATGCTAGCAGCTGCTGCTGCCAACCCTCCCCCTTCCTCCTCTCTTTCCGCTCTTCCCCTCCCCCCTCCTCCCCCACTCTTCCTACTAACCACCATCGTTCCAAAATCCCCTTCCTCGCTTTCCTCCTCTTCCTCCTCCTCTCGCCCCCCCTTCCGCCTTCCACCCCCTCTGCTCACCACCATTGTTCCGAAATCCCCGCTATTATCATCCTCGTCTTCCTCCTCCTCCTCCTCGTCCCTTCTCCTGCCCCTCCCGCTGCTTCCTTTATTTCCGCGACTAACCACCATGGTTCCAAAATCCCCTCCTTCTGAACCGTCCGATTCCACACCACTCCCGTCATCGTCGTCTCGTCGTGTGCCACGTGGCCGCATCACCATTGTTCCAAAATCCCCTCCCCCTTCCTCGTCACTATCCCCTGCATACGGGCCCCCCTTATTATCACCTCCCCCACGCCAACCGCCGCCGCCGCCGCCGCTTTCGCGTCTGCTTCCAGGTTTCATAACCATGGTTCCGAAGTCCCCGCCTCCATCACCGTCCGATTCTTCATCGGACGGCTCCTGTGGCGGTCTGCGGCTCCCAGGCTTCATAACCATTGTGCCGAAATCTACATCCGAACCATCTGAACCGTCCATTTCAGCTAGAATCGACGCTACACAGACGGATTATATGCGCTAGCACCAGAATGCAGTTTAGGTTCTTTGCTGCAACAACCAAAAATAGTTAGAGACTAATCGATGATGTGAAATTGCGAGAGGCGAAGCGAAACCCTAGTGAAGATCTCAAGACAATGATTCGTGTCTAGGAGCGAAGGCGGCTAGCCTTTTAGAACGCAGACTAGCTTGCAAGGTCTCTTAGAATGCGGACTAAGAAACCGCTGACAGGTATTTGAACGGGAACTGACCGGCTAGGCGGGAAATTTTGGGGACTGGCATGCAGCATTATTTAGGGTTTAGGTGAGTTGCAGAACGGTTTCTCTGGGTGCGAAATGCTTATTAGAAAGTACCTCGCGAACAAGCTGGTGCTAAGAGCTAGTTAGTCAAGAAGAATTAAGTTATAGTTTAGATTGTGAACTCAATATGTTTTTCATCGACTATTCGCTAGAACGCTTACCGGTAAGAGAGGCAAACTGCTTACATTGGATGTGAGGTCGAATTTAAAGGTCACAAAAAAACGCTAAAGCATCGATGTAAGACAACTAGTGCACTGCAAATTCCCACACAACCCAACCCAAACCCCATCACCCTTTGTTCTTAATCCACTCCTTTTCCCCGTAACAAATTGTCGTATCGTTACAACTGGCCACCCGTAAGCCATGCCGCAACCGTTGGATATCCATAGAAAAGGTTGACGCCACAGATCCCCAGAAAATGTGCGACTGTGCACAAATAAGCTTTTCTAGAGCCACGGGAATGAGTTCTGTGCGGCCTGTAGTCAATTGTTGAATGGGCCGCATCCATTTCTCCTTGCTCTTTTCGCGGACGGATGGTAACCGCACGACGTTGAGCTTGTAATCCGACATTTGGTTTAACAGAACAGTAAGCTCCTCCAACTGACAAATAGTAAAGAAGAGAAGGGTGACAATAAATGGGGAGGAGGGCCAGGTGTGACAAAGAAGAGAGGAAAGAATGGTGACAAGAGGAGCACCAGAAGAAGATGGTGAAGAGAACAAGAGAGTGAGAAGGGGGTGGTGAGACGATAACAGCATGATTGCTTTCATAGCAAGCGATGAGCCATGGAGATGTGAAGCACACAGGCAGGCAGCCATCGCACCTCCATGCTTGCCCAACCTCGTTGCAACACAAGCACCCAAGAATGCTTGGCATTGGTTGCAGAAACAAACACATACCTCGGCATGCTTGGCATTGGTGGCGAGGAAGAGGTTGTTGATTCCCAGCTCCCTGGTCTTGCGATACACCCAATATGCCACCTGCATACCGGCACGGCACACATCAAGGAACATGGCATGGGCAGGACAGGGCAAAGACGGAGCATGTCAAGAGAATGGCATTCATGCCCAGCTGCTCCCTCATCCTGCGATACAACCAATAGGCCACCTGCGTACCCCCATGCCACACATCAAGGAGCATGGCATGGGCAGGACAGGGCACAGACGGACGGAGCATGTCAAGAGAATGCAATTCATGCCCAGACTCCTAGTCTTGCGAACACCCAATAAGCCACCTGCATACCCGCATGTGTCAAGGAACAGGGAGGGAACATGTGTAAACACGTCAAGAACATGCCACGGAGCATAGGACTGAACATGCCGATAAACCGCTCGCCTTCAAAAGCCTCTCCCACAGGGCGTTCTTGGGTCCGTGCCAGAAGCAGTAGGCCTTGAACTCTCCCCCCCCCCCCACATACTGGTCCCCCCCGCTATACTGACTAGTCCTAGGACTCACAGCCCAAGCATGGCTGGAACCCCTGAAGCACGGCAAGCCCACCCACCTGCTGCACTGGAAAGTAGCAAGCATTGTTACGCCCGTGCCAGAAGCAATACGCCTTCAAGTCCCCTCTTCGCCAGTGCATGCCGACAAACCGCTCGCGCTGAAAAGTATCCCGCACAAACCGCTCAGCCGCCAGAAACATGCCCGCAGCCGCTTGAAGAGCAGCGGACCCTGAAAGCCCCACCACCCTAAACCCAGGAACCATACGCACTAAACCCTGAACCCTGCACCGTAAACCATACGGCACGGCAAGCCCACCCACCTGCTGAACCGGAAAGTAACATGCATTCTTGGGTCCGTGCCAGAAGCAGTAGGCCTTGAAGTCACCTCTTCTCCAGTGCATGCCAATGAACCTTTCCCCTTTGAACGTCTTGCGCACAAAAAGCTCTGCTGCCAAGAACATGCCCGCAGCCGGCTTGATGAGCAGCGCGGTGGGGCAGACGGAGGAGCGCTCGAACGGCAGGTCGAGAGCAGCGTCGCTCTCAGGCCACTGTGTGAAATGTACATTGACCAGATCCCCCACCACTAGCACAGGAGACTGGTTGTTGCCATATGCTTCCAGCACCTGTGCAGGACAGAGAAAGGGAAACGAATTTCAGGGAAAAGGCAGGGTTAGCGGAGGGACGGGGAGGGGAAGCTGGCTTGATGAGCAGCGCGGTGGGGCAGACGGAGGAGCGCTCGAACGGCAGGTCGAGAGCAGCGTCGCTCTCAGGCCACTCTGTGAAGTGAATGTTCACTAAGTCGCCCACCACCAGCACTGGAGACTGGTTGTTGCCGTTTACCTCGCAGGGCCCCTCCCTCATCCCCTCTTTCCCCACCCTCCTTCCATGCACCTCCCTCGCAGGTGGGCGAGCCTCACTTGGGACTTGGTTGCGGACATGGGCAGGCATGCAGCAAGCGCCGTGTGGTTGCCTGTCAACTGGGTGAGCTGGCCCCTGAAGAGCGTGCGGGTGATGCGCACCCGTGTGTTGAACACAAACCCTGGCTTGCCGATCTAATAAGCGGGAGGTGTGGGGCATGAAAGGGGAAAGACGGGATGAGGGACCGAGAGGAGGATGAGGGAGGAGAGAAGGGCGAGGGGCAGAGAATAGGGTTACAGGTGCTGGGGCCGAGTGTTGAGCCAATCACACATACGGGCCACATCATCACACGGGCCGAGTGTTTTGAGGAGGGGAAGGGGCGTGAGATCACGCTTTTGAGTCGACTCAAAAGGGAAGAGTGGGAGGTGGGGGAGAGCGGCTTGCCGATCTATTGAACAAGGTGCAGGAGGAGGAGGGGGAGGGGCGTGAGATCAGGGAGGGAGAGGGAAGTGGGGGCGTAAGACAGCCGACATAGAGGTCAGCTGGCCCGTCAAGGGCGGGCGGGTGATGCGCACCCGCGTGTTGAACACAACAAACCCTGGCTTGGTGACTTTTGAGTCGACTCAAAAGTCACCCCGCGTGTTGAACACAACAAACCCTGGCTTGGTGACTTTTGAGTCGACTCAAAAGTCACCCCGCATGTTGAACACAACAAACCCTGGCTTGGTGACTTTTGAGTCGACTCAAAAGTCACCCCGCATGTTGAACACAACAAACCCTGGCTTGGTGACTTTTGAGTCGACTCAAAAGTCACCCCGCATGTTGAACACAACAAACCCTGGCTTGGTGACTTTTGAGTCGACTCAAAAGTCACCCCGCATGTTGAACACAACAAACCCTGGCTTGGTGACTTTTGAGTCGACTCAAAAGTCACCCCGCATGTTGAACACAACAAACCCTGGCTTGGTGACTTTTGAGTCGACTCAAAAGTCACCCCGCGTGTTGAACACAACAAACCCTGGCTTGGTGACTTTTGAGTCGACTCAAAAGTCACCCCGCGTGTTGAACACAACAAACCCTGGCTTGGTGACTTTTGAGTCGACTCAAAAGTCACCCCGCGTGTTGAGCACAACAAACCCTGGCTTGGTGACTTTTGAGTCGACTCAAAAGTCACCCCGCATGTTGAACACAACAAACCCTGGCTTGGTGACTTTTGAGTCGACTCAAAAGTCACCCCGCGTGTTGAACACAACAAACCCTGGCTTGGTGACTTTTGAGTCGACTCAAAAGTCACCCCGCGTGTTGAACACAACAAACCCTGGCTTGGTGACTTTTGAGTCGACTCAAAAGTCACCCCGCATGTTGAACACAACAAACCCTGGCTTGGTGACTTTTGAGTCGACTCAAAAGTCACCCCGCATGTTGAACACAACAAACCCTGGCTTGGTGACTTTTGAGTCGACTCAAAAGTCACCCCGCATGTTGAACACAACAAACCCTGGCTTGGTGACTTTTGAGTCGACTCAAAAGTCACCTCGCATGTTGAACGCAACAAACCCTGGCTTGGTGACTTTTGAGTCGACTCAAAAGTCACCCCGCATGTTGAACACAACAAACCCTGGCTTGGTGACTTTTGAGTCGACTCAAAAGTCACCCCGCGTGTTGAACACAACAAACCCTGGCTTGGTGACTTTTGAGTCGACTCAAAAGTCACCCCGCGTGTTGAACACAACAAACCCTGGCTTGGTGACTTTTGAGTCGACTCAAAAGTCACCCCGCGTGTTGAGCACAACAAACCCTGGCTTGGTGACTTTTGAGTCGACTCAAAAGTCACCCCGCATGTTGAACACAACAAACCCTGGCTTGGTGACTTTTGAGTCGACTCAAAAGTCACCCCGCGTGTTGAACACAACAAACCCTGGCTTGGTGACTTTTTAGTCGACTCAAAAGTCACCCCGCGTGTTGAACACAACAAACCCTGGCTTGGTGACTTTTGAGTCGACTCAAAAGTCACCCCGCATGTTGAGCACAACAAACCCTGGCTGAGTCGACTCAAAAGTCACCCCGCGTGTTGAACACAAACCCCGGCTTGCCGGTATATGTTGAAAGAGGTGTGGGAGAAGAGGGGGATGGGGGGGAAGAAAAAGGAAAAGGGGATGAGGGAGGAGAGGAGGGAAAGGGGAGAAACAGAGGGTTGGGGTATAGGCAAGCTGGCCCCTAGGCGAGCCCCACACACCCTCGTACCTTTCTCAGGGCCTTTCCGTTGCCCCCAACACACACCACCCTCCCTCCCTCCCTCCCCCCCCTGCTGCCCCACACACCCTCGTACCTTTCTCAGGGCCTCTCCGTTGCCCCAAACGAGGACTGAAGCCGGGGTGTTCATGGTTTCAGCATCAGCTCCTTATCCTCCTCCCTGCACGCGCCCTTGGGCCCGGGAGGCCATGCCACCACACCCTGAAGACTTTCTGGGGAATATCAACAAGACCCCAGGGTGTGGCCGTGAGGCCGTGACCCCACGCACCACATACCTCAACTAAGCCCTGTCCCACGCACACACCTTTCTCAGGGCCTCTCCATCACCCCCAACCAGCATGGAGGCCGGGGTGTTCATGGTCTCAGGAGCCGGGCAGTTGAGCAGAAGCTCCTTATCCTCCTCCCTGCACGCGCCCTTGGGCCCGTGCCAGCACACCACCTCCATCACATTGATTGGCTGCACATACTTGCATTGGAGTGACTTTTGAGAATTCTCAAAAGTCACTCCGATACTCTGCTGTGGTGCAGTGAGGTGAACACATACCACCCCTCCACCTGCTGCCCCACCCACCCACGTACCTTGAACAAGCCCTACGCACGTACCTTGAACAAGCCCTACGCACGTACCTTGAACAAGCCCTACGCACGTACCTTGAACAAGCCCTACGCACGTACCTTGAACAAGCCCTACGCACGTACCTTTCTGAGAGCCTCTCCGTCCCCTCCAACCAGGACTGAGGCCGGGGTGTTCATGGTCTCAGGCGCCGGGCAGTTGAGCAATAATTCTTTGTCCTCCTCCCTGCACGCGCCCTTGGGCCCGTGCCAGCACACCACCTCCGTCACATTGATCGGCTTCACGTATTTCCTCCGGTACTCTGCTGTGGTGAAGACCACCTTGCCGAAGCAGCGCCTGAGGTGCTCCACGTCGAGAGCCACGTGCATGTTGTAATTGCGCACCACCTCCGAGTGATGGAAGGGCACTATGAGCGTGCGGCTGAGCAGGCCGGCTAGCAGCAAGTGGTTTTTTATGCAGAGAACCCGATTGCTGATCTGTTCTTGAGGGGGGAAGAGGGAGCGAAGTGCATGTTGTAATTGCGCACCACCTCTGAGTGGTGGAAGGGCACTATGAGCGTGCGGCCTAAAAGACCAGCTAGCAGCAGGTGATTCTTGATGCAGAGAACCCGGTTGCTGATCTGGCGTGTGGGGAGAGAGAGGGCAGGGAGGAGAGGGAGCGACGCGCATGTTGTAATTGCGCACCACCTCTGAGAGATGGAAGGGCGCTATGAGCGTGCGACCCAGGAGACCGGCCAGGAGGGAGGTGATTCTTCATGCCATGCACAACACCCGGTTGCTGATCTGGTGGAAGGGTAGTTTGGAACAGAGAGGGTGGGGGGTTGGGGGGGTTGAAGATTGAAAGGAGGAGGGAAGGAGGGGGCAGAGGGGAGGGAGAGGGGCGGGAGAGAGAGCAGGGTGGGAAAGCAGCACCCAACCACCTTCCCCAGTACCGACCAGTGCCCACCTTCCCCGGTACCCACCTTCCCTGGCAACCACCTTCCCCAGTACCCACCTTCCCCCAGCAGCCACCTTCCCCAGCGACCACCTTCCCCAAGAACCACCGTCCCCAGCACCCACCGTCCCCAGCACCCACCCGCAGCTGCCCTGTTTGATACCAACCTTCCCCAGTACCCACCTGCCCTCTGACGCAGTGCAGCAGCAGAAACTTCCCCCTGGTGGTGTGCCAAGCCCCGGTGCCTGCAGCAACAGCGCATGCCTCCCCAGTACACACCTTCTCCAATACCCACCTTCCCGAATATCCCCCTTCCCCAGTACCCACCCACCCACCTGGCCTCGCACGCAGTGCAGCAGCAGAAACTTCCCCCTGATGATGTGCCAAGGCACGGTGCCGGCAGCAACAGCGCCTGCCTCTAAGGCAGGGAGGAAGAGGTCTCCCGTGCTGTTGTCGGCAGGGCACTGCAGAATCCCATCGTGCCTGAGGGGGTTGCGGAGGGGTGGTGAGGGGTGATGACGGGTTGTAGAAGGGTGAAGAGGGGTGGCGAGCGGCAAGGCACAATGCCTGCAGCAAGGGCTCCTGCCTCCAAGGCTGGGAGGAAGAGGTCGCCCGTGCTGCTGTTGGCAGTGCACTGCACTGCAGCACCCCATCATGCCTGGGAAGGGTGGCGAGCGGTGAGGAGGGGTGAAGAGGAATGAAGAGGTGGGAAGGTGGGGAAGGGAGCGGGGAGGGGGGTGAAGGAGGGAGGGGAGGATCAGGGAACAAAGGGAGTAAGGGAGGGTGGTGGGGTAGGTGCCGAAGGGTGTGTGTGGAGGAAAGGTCGTGATTGCAAGCTGCAGCCTGCAGGGAAGAGTCCACTTAAGAGCGCACCAGCGTGTCATCTAATCCGTCCCGCCCTGTTACAGCCAACTCTCAAAAACCGCCTTTAACATGAAACCGGTTGTTTCCTCCACAGTACGACCCCCTCATTTAAAATGAGCCCGAAAAAACGGCTCTAATATTACTCGAGGTCCACTCCCTACCACACCACACCACACCACACCACACCACACCACAGTACACCACGCTGCACCACACCACATCACTGCACCACACTGCACCACGCCGCACGCGTACCCGAGAAGACTTTTGAGTCGAAAATCTCCATCCCTACACCCGTTGCACACCTGAGAATCACCAACCGCAAGCCCTCCACCACGCGTACCGAGAAGCGGCGAAAGTCGGCCTCGGGACTACCGCTGCCAGCAGCATCAGCACCATGAGCCCTGTTACAAGCCGCGACATTCCCAAGGCTGCGATGCCGTAGAGACGCGCGTTTGGAGAAAAACGACCGCTGGGGGTGTGGTGAGGAGCCATGATCATGTGGGCATGTCGGATGCGGTGCAATGGGGCTTTGGCACGCAGATGCTCGGTCCGGCTCGGTCCAGTGGTGATAGAAGATTGCACGAAAGGTTATCCACTGTAACGAATGTTACACTAAAGAAAGGCTTGTTGAATAAACTGCACCAGTGGAGTGGAGTGGAGTGGAGGGTTTGCAAATTCGATCGGGGTGGGTGCGAATACTGGCACGACTCTTCGAATAAAGCGCATCAGCAATCGCATAGCAGAACCATTGTTTGATGTATGTATTTCAGGAAGAGAGGGAGGAGACCGTCGATGATCATTCCGTACTTGTGGCTTCGTCGCGATTCGTTGTTAGTGGAATCAAGCAGGTAGGTGGGTATTTTGTGACCAAGGTGTTGTACGCAATATGCAATTCATGCGCTTTCGTTAGGGTGCGGCCAATGAAATATTTGCAGACTCTGGGTTTGGTTTTGCGGTATGGGGTGATTGAAAGAATAGCGCAATGTTTAACTACACTGCCTATAGGCTAGAATCTGACACTTAAAAGAAATTCAGCAAACCCTAACATCAACGTGATTTCCTACAGGGCCCGTGTAAAGATTCGGCGCTCATTCATCACTAGTGATGTACAAATGTTTAACATCACCACATGTAAGCAACCATTTGTGTGGTATTTGTCTGCATAAACAACCCCCTAACTGCCGATTTGTTGGAAGGATCACAGTCCCACAGACTCACAGATGAGGTGGAAGGTTGGGTGACCTACTGTCCCCTAGAACAGCATCCAAACGAGGGGAAAAGGCTTCGTAAATGAGGGTAAGCGGGCGACCGTGACTATAAAAGAAATAGTGCCTAGCCCAGAAAGGTCCTGGTACTCCAAATATTCTGTAAGGAGCCAAGAAAGAAACAGGGAAAAAGTGGCATTCAGCCCACAGCCTCAAACCACACCAAACAATCAGCAGTGTGCAAAACAGGCTCAGGAGCAGCTGAAAGCGTACAACCAGAACAAGCACAAACACAGTACTCACCTTTCTAGATGAGGAGAGGACCCATAATACAGTCGCTCTAGTGAGCGAAAGAGTTCTGTCCTCTGCTGCTGCAATGTCTTCCATACAGGCTGCTGCACAGCTGGTAGTGCTGACTTTACCTCCTCGGCCGCCCACCAAGAGGCAGCATACACCAATACCTCGTCGGAAGCAGGCTTCAAATGGACCTGCCAGTGTCAAGAAATCAGCAGCAGCAGGACGTAGGTACACATGATTTTGCCAACATTAGCCGCAATAGAACACGATGACGGCAGTGAGGTGGACGGTGCGCAAGCAAAGGGGACACAAACGGCGCATAAGATAAAAAATAAACGGGTTACAACTAGTGGTTCTGGTTTTGCTGCCGCACCTGTCTCTGAACTCGTGGTCCGGGCACCAGCGCTGTGCCAGGAGGCAAGCCCAGGAGAGCATGACCAATTCCCCGCATCTCCACACAATCTACGGTGACTTGCTCCCCTAGCAGGAGCTCCAAATGGCGCGTTACTGAACCATCGCTGAGCAGCATCATTCTCCAGAGACGAGGAAGAGAAAGGAGCAGGTCCTTTTGCTCCAAAACGCACTGCTCAGTACCCTGTGACAAGCAAAAAAAGCAGCAGAAAGTAGCATCAGCTACTTACTGGTTGAACGCGCCGTACAAAAGATAACCTCTCAAAGAACAGCCATGTCAGACTCAACGCACCTGCCAGATCGGCTTGACTGGATACCAATCTGGGGACATGAAGTTGATCCATTCGGAGTCCATTGCGGGTTTCGGTCGCTGTCCTTGCTCTTGCTGTTGTCTTAGCTGCATGTCAATCCCGGCTACTGGACTAGGAGGAGGCCGAAACGGGGGAGGGTTGGAAAATGGTCTCGACGGCGGAATCGAAGAACCTACAACTGCTACAGGGAAGTTAGCTGCTCCTCCATTGGAAGATCGGTTATACTCCTGCATACTACCATCTTCTACCGATCGATACTGTGTGTTGGCTTTAACCACGCCTCCTTGGCCCGGACCGCTTTTACCCGGACGTGGTCTTTGATTCTGTTTCGGAGACTCCGACCTGCTGGAGAACGCGGAAGGGTTTGACGACGAGGATTGGCCAACTGAAGGTGATGATGGCGGATTGGCTGAAGGTGATGACGGTGGAGTGGACGGAGACGATTTGCTGACAGGTGGAGATGGACCGATAGAAGGAGGATTCAGGGGACTAGAAGGTTTCGGATCATCATGCTGATCTTTTCTGGAGCCATCGGCGTTATCACCCCTGTTGCTTTCCCCACGCGTTTTGCCGCTGTTGCTACTCTTGAAATCTCCGCTAGATGATCGTGCCGAGAAATCGGGAGGGGTAGAAGAGGACGCAAACACCCTGATCGAAAACAGTGGATGAAACACAAGGTGCGAGACAGAAAGAAGTGACAAACATAAATATTGTGAAGAAACTGGGAGTCCCATTCGGCCGATGCAACGTTATCTCACGAAGAACATAACACTTGCAACGTTGAAACTATGACGTCAACTGGAAGATCAGCAAAAAAGAGGAAACCTTCTCTTGCCATTAAAAAAATCGGGCCTTACCTGGCGATCGAGTGTCGTCTCTCTCTATATCTGTCGTGACAAAGAGAGAACACCGTCGAGCTTCGAAACCACGAGATCCTCCTCACAGAGGCAGATCTATGTTGCAAACTGTTCGATCCTATCGTTTCTACACGAACACTACTTGAACGAAAACAAACGGCTCTGGCCTCCATGCTGTATCGGTGTTGGGTTCGGACGAAAGGAATACGAATCACAACTTGAAACTAAGAAACACAGGCTCGTGCGTCAAACGTCCTATCGACTTCATATTTTGTGCAGTATACGGCGTAAAAACGGACGTTTCCAGCTCGATCCAAGGACGAATGCGCATAACCTTCTCTGGCACGAAAGCCCACTTCTACGAGCCAACAGTCAAAACAGCGAAGCCGTTTGGTACAAACGCTAACCCAGCTAGACAAGTCGCCTTAAACCCACAACGCTCGTGTGCGGCTCTTGCATAAACGAAACCTGCAAGCATTGAAACTTTATCTCTAGGTGTTGCTTCCTTCAGTTCCCAGCGAAAAAGAGGGGTCTGTCTGGACCTTTGAAGGTCCAGAAGCTCATTTCTTGGCTGAGCAGGAGATTCTCGAGGCTATGGTGAGCTGAGCACCAGCAAGTGAACGGCGGTGTTCATTGCTGGTGCTCCCCGATGGCTGATGAGACCTCCTGGAGCGAACAGCCACGAGCGGTGACTCTGTAACCCTCCAGAATCGGGCGACAATTCTGTCCGCTTCCAATGTTTTCGGGAGTGGAGTGACGAACCAAGAGCTTCTTCGAAAATAGGGGGAAGCAGAAGAATGCCAACCAATCAGAAGGGCGTGAAAACAAACACAGGTTGGTCCCACATTCTTGCTATGTAACCACTTATGGATTCCCACGTGTGATAAAGATCCTAAGAACGGGGGACACCGAAGGCTCAAAATGGATGGAAGACTCCCACAAGCTTGGCTTGGCTGCAGCATCTCGAATCTCGATATGTGCATAGACTGAAACCACCACAAGCCTTTCTGACAAGCCCCCGTTTTTATTCTACTGTTGTATAGTTCCTTACATCATACCCATGTCATAAGGCCCTACCTTCTACACAGAATTGTCTGATTGATTGGCGAATACAATTTTTATGCACATCCCACACAACTCTGAAATTTTTTATTTGTTCCTTTCTTTCACTCCATGATGGTCCACAATCAAATGCTGATGGTGATGTTGTTGAATTGTATTTGCATACCTTATAACTGCCTACAGTTAGCTAGTGTACTAGATTAGTTATTAGATACCAACTGCTGGTGGTGTACCCTTTCCCCTTCCCCTTCTTCCTATTTGTACTCCCAATCTCATAATGAAACCACTCTTTGGCCAATCTTCTCTCCCCCTCGATACCATCCTACGCCTAAGTCCTAAATCCTAAGCTCCTTATCTTAACAGATGTACTCACCTTGTAACAATGTTAATGCCTGCAATAGGAACAGAGCATGTGTACATACCGTAACGAACTATTATTCCATCTGGGATGCGTGGAAGAATCTGGTCTAACTTCTTGCAAGTTCAACAATAGTGATTCAGTTACAAATGAGTTCCTCTCCTAAACTACGGTAAGCCCACCACATCTGGCCTAGGAGGTAAAACTAAAGCTACTTCCCATCAAACATAAGCCACTTCCGGTAGATACCCTCGTCTCAGCTGTGCCAGCACATGTTCCCCCGTGCGAAACAACTCTCTCAAATTATTCACCGACGCTTCACTCCTCCCCATCTCAAACAGCAATCTCACATCCCTCCTCCTGCTCTCTGCTGCCGCCCAGCTCATACCCCCAGGGCGTTTGCCGATCTCTCTAAGAAGATTGCGGTAGAGGGAGAGAGCACGGGGACGGTTTATGAGGTATTGCTGTGGTGTTAACCATAACGGAGCCATCTGTAACAGGGATGTGAAGGAGAAG